GTGTTTTCATCATTATATGTAGTTTTATATATTGTTATTACATAGTATAGATAATTACATTGTTGTTACACATGTAAATATCATTCATTAAAAATGTAAATTACTTCTTACTACTGCTCCAATTATATTTTATAAATAAAATGCCAAAAGGTCATGAGGTCATGTCAAATTACATCTCTTATTTTCTGTTATTTTACAGAATGCTTTGGGCACCACAGCTGCTGGAATAATATTGTTTGTCTTTTATTTTTATTTTTTTTTAAAGTGCAGGGCTCCAAATGATTAGTTTACTTATTGATTATCCTCAAGATTATTTTCTCACTTTACTGACTGATTGTTTACTCTGTGAAAAGTCAAAAAGTTTAGGAAAAATGTCCACTGTGACACAGATACATTTGCTTTCAGAACATATTGTGATTAGATGTTGACAGTTACACTGTCTGGGATGTGAATGTTTAGATCCAGTGAATTAATTTTCTTTCATGACATTGATGTAAAAATCCTGTAAATCCTAAATTACCACAAAGCATAAAGGCCTAATTAACCAGATGTCTAAGTGAAAGCCAAATGCTCTACACTAAAGCATCACAAGAACAACGACATCTTCATTGGTCGACACATTTTTTTTATCAAACTGTACGACTTCACTTTTCATTGTCATGAATCATGTTAAGGTCAGCAGAGCTTAAAACACACTGTGATGATGATCTGATTAGTCTGGATGTCCAGAATCAGAGGCACAACAAGATGTTCCCTCCATGTTTTTCAGTTGTTATCAGCGGATTATCATTTGCTGAGCATAATTTTGATCTGCGGTTCATGAGGTGCATTAGAGTTCAGTTGGTGCAGCGGCTGCCAGTCTGAGAGACTCAATGGTTTCAAAGTCCGTCCAGCTGGTATGCAGCTCAGATTTAGTCGGTGTAAACTCGCCCAGTGTTGTTCTAAACACAAGCTGCAGGAGATTTCTACCTTCTCTTTGTTCAGGCCACACACACGACAAGTTTCTGTCCGTATGTCGTGTTTTCAGCTGCGTATCTGAGAAATATCTTGAGCTCATACTGAAAGTGGTGTTTTTGCCAACTAGAGTAATGACAGGTGTTGAGCAACGTGAGCAGCTCATAATGACACTCATATGACTGCGACTGACGTTAGCGGGGATGAAACAAGGTGCAATAAGGACAAAGGGGAAGTCTGAGGAGTGAAACTGCCTCCTGTTTCAGGAGATTTAGGAGGGAAGTCACAAGTCTGAGCTCAGAAAACTTGGACAAGAGACAGGAGACACCTGCCTGCAACAAGTCAATGCTGAAGTCGTGAAGTGTGATGTGATGCTCTGGAGAGAGACAGAAAACAGCTGTGATAAGCCGGATTTGTTTGGACAAACAGTCACTGCTGATTGATTTTATCAGTCATCTCAATAACAACATGTTTATGAAAGTGATCTGTGGTTGACACGAGGGTAAGGCGATGTTTCTTTTGTTCATCTTGTCAATTTTAGGCTTAAAACCTTTGTTTGCTGTTTAAATCTTAGTCACTGGCATTGGTTTAGACTGAAGGGGAGCCTCTTTTCTTTAGTGTAATAAAAATCACTGGCAATTTAGAGGTTTAATTTATAAATTATGTTTCAAACACAGATGTAGACTCAAGATGCTGCCTAGGGAAACTGAAAAAGCACCAAAAAGAAGTTAAAAATGCAAAAGTTAACCATCCAAAGGTAAACAACACGATTAAATTAGAAAAATATAAAACGTAAAGCTCTAAAAAATAAAAAAAGGAAATAAGCAGTAAAATTAACAGACCTTGACTTTTAAAGGCTTTTAGTTAACAGCATTTTGGAAACTTTAAGGTTTTCATTTTGGATTTAAAGACTCCAAAACTTGGGGCCTCGCTGGACTCACTCCAAGAGATGATAACACTCTTAAATAATCTCTACACGATGAACCAGAAATGTTGTGTAAATGTTCTCGAGCGTTTCTGAAGTGACAGTTCTGTTTATAAAAAGCACAGATAAGAGTTGAACCTGTTCCATTTGTGTCTCTATCTATCTCGATGTGACTAACCTTGCTATCTGTCACGTTTCACTTGATTCTGACTCCTCACACATTGACCCAGCAGCTGTGACAAACATGTTCAACAGAAAGGTTATGATAGAATCGACCCTCTTATAGTCCAGCGTGAGCGCTGAGCCTGAACCACTCAAGCCTCGTGTGAAGTGATGAGCTGTCTGTTGTAGTCTGTGTTTTATTTTTGTGATATAAGAGGAGGCTTTCAGTGCAGCGGCAGTACGTTCTGGATGGGTTTAACACCAGAAGCATGGCATGTTTTAAAGGCTAGTACGTGGGTTATTGCTGATGGAAGGCTTTACCTCCTGTAGATATAACAGAGGAATGTCAGATACAAGCTGTAATCGAGGAAAAGTCTGAGCAGAATAACTTAATCGATCTCAGAAACCAATGAATACGTTTATCACTTTAGCTCTCAAATAAGACGGAAGCCGAAAACCGTTTAAGAGAAGCGATAAAAGTTTTGACATGATGTGAATATAGCCCTGATTTACACCTTAAAGATCAGATACAAGCTTCAAGGGATGGGACTGAAGTTTGAAAGCATGTCACACTGTTCTTCACCAGGGAGGGTCCATGAGGAATCTTCAGAATCTGAAGAAACGATTTGGTTTGAATAATATAATATATACAATAAATTCCAGCATTATATTGAACAACTAAGGGAGAGCAAATTAGCAAAAATTCATAGACAATATGTTGCTAGAAAGTCTTCATCGAGGCATGTGAATGGAAAAAAAAACATCTCAAAATGTCATTCACTGAAGAGGAAACAAATACAGGAAAGAGGGAAGTTATGTGAAATGGAAAACTGTAAGTTCAGCTTTATGGAGAGAGTTTTGCTGGAAAAGCCTCATGAAATAAGTCATTACAACAACTCTAAACAGACGTTGTACCAGATCTTCTAAGTGCTGCATTAGTGGAGGATTTTCTGAGGCAAATCATATATTTGAGTCTTGCCCATTGATAGTTTCTTTCTGGCAGGAGGATCATAAGATTTTACCAAAAGTATTTCATTTAGACATTTCATTTGTGCTTCAGTGTCCTGCCATCACCGCTAATATTTAATATCTATTACAGATTTTAAGTGCAGCTGGCAGGAAAGCCAATATCAGACATTGTGGCTAAGAATGGAAATACCTACAGTAGATGATTGGATTGACATTATTTGTGAAGTGTTGGATGGAAAGAGTTACTTTCAAACTGCAGCCGGACAAGTTTTTGAAAAAAGTTGGATTGTTTACATCACAACTATAGGACCAATATTTGTATAAGGTTTCTTTTTTTTTTTTTTTTTTAATCAGACAATGATTATTTTTTAGATAGGAGCTGTTTTTACCTTGTCTGATAAAAAAAAGAAACCTTATACCTATAATCAGAGTACACAAAATAAACCTAATCATGCGAATATTTATATAACGTGAATTTTCTTTCTTTTTAAAACATTTTTTTTAAGTGTGGATTTCTATTTTTTTCTTCTCTTAGGTTTTTTTCTTCTCTTTCTCATTTTCTTCTATTTTTATGTATTGGACTGGTCCATATATGCTTCTGTGCCTATTTAATTTATTCTCACCTTGAGTTAAAATTGTATTTTGCAGAAGTCCATTCTAATTCTTGCCGTATACAAAAACCCTAAAAAAAATTACAATTCTACAATTTCCTTTAGCAGACGCTTTTATCCAAAGCAACGTACATCTGAGAGCAGATACAACACAAGCAAGGATCCAGTCAGGAGGAAACAACCTGGATAAGAGCCAGCACCTCTTATTTTAATCAAACTTGAGTGTCTTTTTACATCCTGTGATGATATTATCATGTGACGTCAAGAGGGGGCGTCGGCACTTTATGCACAAATACAGAAGCCCAGTAGAACCCGCTACAGTACCACAGTAACACCAGTAGTGACCCAGTTTGGATCAGTGGAGCACCGGCTCACTGGATAGAAAACCAGTTTGTCACGAACCAAACAGACCTCATGCAAGAACATTTCTGCGTTCTTGTCTGTTTTGAATGAGATCGTTCTGCTGGTGTTCAAATTCATAACTAACCAAAGAATGAAACAAAGAATTTCATCGTCTAGCTTCTGCTGTAAGAAATGAGCAGACAGACAATAGTGTGAGACGACCTTGGAGAATATTAATAGTACCGCTGTCAGCAGTAAATGGTTTGACATTAAGCAAGAAGCTAAAATTATCTTTCTCAAGCAAAGTGGTCTGTGGCTTATAAGAGAGGCAGTACAGGGGACGCGAGAGTCACAAAGACATTATGGGGGATTATATTATGGGGTAGCTGAGGTGATGCTGCAGGGTTGGTGCAGCTGATGACGACCTGCACGAAAACTGAGGCAGCAGAAGTCAGAGAGTTTTCCTGACAACTGAAATATACGAGCTACTGCAGCGAAATGTGGCTACAAAAATGATCAAATCTAGAACAATAAAACAACCCTAAACCGTCACAGATTTATTACTGGCTGTACAAAATTAGCCCTTTAAAACATAGAGAATACACACAACAAAAAATCGTGCCAAAAAGCTCCGTTAGCTGACTATATTTACCCAAAGTGGGTCAGTTTTGGCCCATTGATTGTGGCTTGTGTTCCCTGTGGAGACAGAAACTCTCTGTCCTCTCTGCTCTGCTGCTTGCTGCAGCCGAGGCCCCGATTGAGTCTCGATCAGCTCAGGACTCTTTTGAGGAAAATGGGACAGAGCCGCTGTGTTTAGGGACCAGCTTGCATCTCCTTTGCAGACTATTCTGAACAACAGGAGCCTTACTACAGGGACGGTGGCCTAGTAAGACACAGGAAAAAAAAGATTACATGGTTTTATTCTGCTGTTAATTCAGGCGAGATCACGTTTAGATGGCTGGTGAAGCAGAAGTTCTTAGAAACCCAGCGTGGATACCGTCATTGCAACTGCTAATCGATTGTATTTTTGCTGCCAGGTGGACACCATGAACTATGTGGGGCAGCTGGCGGGCCAGGTGCTGGTGACAGTGAAGGAGCTGTACAAAGGGATCAATCAGGCCACTCTGTCGGGATGCATCGACGTGGTCGTGGTGCGACAGCCGGATGGGACGTTCCAGTGCTCCCCTTTCCACGTCCGCTTTGGAAAACTGGGAGTGCTGCGCTCCAGAGAGAAAGTGGTGAGTGTTTGTAACGCTCAAAGGAAACGATAAATAATAGATGTGAGCACGATCGTTATGTTTTTGAGTTACGGACAATTCGAGATAGATAGATAGATAGATAGATAGATAGATAGATAGATAGATAGATAGATAGATAGATAGATAGTCTAACTAATTAAAAAAAAATCTGAAATTGTAATTTGATTAAATATAAATTAAACTCTGCTGCACTAACTTATGAACACCAGCTAGCAAAAAAAAGTCTAGAAGTCTAACAGGTAGGCTAAAAGCAATGATTAAATGGTTGAAACAGATGGAGTAATGGCTAAATAGTGACAGTATGGAGCCAAATATTGGTACTAATATAATGAAAATGGAGTGGTGGTTACTGGGAATGGGAAAACAATGTGGAATTAGTTAGCTAAATGTAATGGATCTGTGGCTAAAACATCCAGGTTCTGCCTCCAAATAGTAAACTGACCTAAAATCTGCATCAAAATGAAAGGTAACACTATTTACGGTAGTTAAAATCTAATTTTAAAGGTTGATAAAGGGCTACTGAGGCTCATATGACAGGCCTGTGAGGGTGCAGCCAGCAAAAAAAAAGTTTGGAAATCACTCTTGTACACTATAATGTTTTCCTCTTCCTGCAGTCTTGACAGATCTCAATCTCTAATAATTTAATGATATCGAAGTCTGCACATTGATCCAACCATTTCAGAGTGTTCTAATTGCCCTCTCCTTCCATCTCAAGCACATTACCATCCAGTCCACTCACTGCTTCCCACAGGAGCAGACTGCACTTTCTCTCTATTTATAGACGCCGTAGTGGTCAATGTGGACGAAGACAGGAGGCGCAGACCGAAGCTCTGTTCAGCCTCTTATTCCTGACTTGCTAAGATTCATCCCATTCAGAAAAAGCCGTCTTACAGAAGAGTCTTCTCTGTGCTGTAGATGCACAGCAGAGCCAGACGGTGCAGGAAGGAGGTCTGTGGTTGACAGAGACGATGCTTTCACTGATTCTTGCAAATCACGTGGGGGGGCTGAACAGCATCTTCGTTACTCTTTGTTGTAGAGAAACCAAGCAGGAAAAAACAGAACAAGAGCTTATCTTGGAACTAAATGTCAGCACCTTGAAGACATTTCTACTGTAGTTTGTCTGTCTGACAGTTTAAAGATGGAATAAATAGATCACACAGTCATGCTACATGCTGTATGGTTGTTTATGTTGTTGACCTATTTAACAACCAAATTCCACCGAGGGAGGCAGCACGGTTTGAGTTAAAGCCTGTTTGTTTAAATCGTGAATAGAAACCACAGAAAGCTGTTTAGCTCTAAAGCTTCAGGTAAATCTGTGGCACGGTATTTATGAGCTGTATTATAAACATACACATTGTACTTTTCTTTGGAGCCTTATTAGAGCTTGTTAAAACCTGAGGCCATCTGAGGAGAACACGGTGACCTGGTACACAATAAGCAGCGTACAGAGTGTGTAGTGTCCTCTGAAGTGTGCTGTTTGACTCTGCAGATCGACATTGAGATCAATGGAGAACCCGTGGAGCTCCACATGAAGCTTGGAGACAATGGAGAGGCCTTTTTCGTGCAGGAGACAGAGCAAAATAATGTGAGTTATGTTCACTATATGATGAAAATGACGAAGAATTGGATCTTTTAGGAGGGATAAATTATTTGTTGCTCCTTTTATTAATATTTTCTCTAATACAGGAGGTCGTTCCCGCCCATCTGGTGACCTCGCCGATCCCCACAGAGGAGGCTCTGTTCAGGAGCAGAGAGCCCAGATGTGTGGAGACCAGCCAGCCTCTCGGTCCAGATGACCCGTCCCCCGGAAACCTCCAACTCTGCGCCAACTCGGCCGGCAAGAAGAAGAAGAGACGCAGGAGGAAACACAAAGCTGAGCCACGCAAGGAGGAGCAAACGACAACATCTACAGGAGGGGAGCAGGAGCTGTGTGAGCTCAGCTCTGATGAAGAGCAAAGTGCACACAATGGACGGTGAGTAGACGAGTGTGCTTTGATCTGCTGGTCATGTAGCTGTATTGTAAATGTTGTGGTTTCCTGTCATCAGAACATCTTCACTGTCAGTGATGAAGGACAACATGGACCACAGGCAACATTCCCCGCTCACCGCCCTTGAATGGGACAGTTATCCTTTCTCTGATGGAGACTGGTCTCCCTGCACAACGTGAGCCGCCTTAACTCTGCACATTTAATATTTACATGGTTAATGCCAGCACAGAGGAACAAGAAGACGGTCTTTTTTTTAATCAAAGCAGACAGATATGAGTGAAACAAATCATTCCCACAAGGTTGTTAGAGCTGACTCAGTGGAAATGTGTTTGTTTTTGCTTACATCAGGGACGTGTCCGAGCCCATGTCGCCCAAGAGCGACTCTGAGCTGATGGTGAAGCCGACAGAGAGCATGCTCAGGGCCGAGTCCCACATGCAGTGGACCTGGGGGGAGTTTCCAGAATCCACCAGGGTACAGCTCATTAACTCAGACATTATCCTCACTTACACATAACTAAAGGCTTGCTGTGATTGTTTTGCAAAGATATGTATGTATATTTTACTGTTGTTGTTTTGCTTCCAGATCAACAAAAAGGACAAATTGGAGCTAAAGAAGTTGACCATCACCCCCTCAGAGAACACACACTTCAGGGTTATTCTGAGCTCAGAAGCCATGGAGGAAGACTCAAGAGGAGAACAGAGAACAGCAGATTCCATCTGCAGCATTGTAAAACCAGAGCCCCGGACCATCAAACCGCAGCCTCCTGAAGCTTCACTACACGATACGAACATCACCGAGCCCAAACCAGCACTTTCAGATTTAATGTCCAGCAGCTTTACCTCAAAGCCAAGTCACTCAGAACTCAACACAAATAACGTGCGCAAAACCAGGTGGACGTCTTCACCGCCAAGCCGCAGGGCCAACGGAGGAAGTAACCCAGACGGAGACTCAGCAGCTGTTTGTTCTGATACAAGAGCCTCCCCTAAAGTCACCGACTCACCCAACAAGAGGAGAGGTAACTTCCTTCAGACATCACTCTGATAGTGTCTCATAGCTTCTGCAGGTTGTTGTTCTTTACTGAAGAAGTATGGATTCAGAAATGATCATTCAAGGCAATACATTTGGGGATAGATGTCAGAAAACAGGAGTAGAAAGGTACAATTTCTAATGTAGATTGTTGGTTTTTCCTTCTAGGGGCTAAATGAAAGTTATTGGGATGGGGATTCATTTTTGTTTACTACAAAGCGGGTCTCTCACTTTCTTTAGAAAAACAAGCACAATATTTATTGCAAACATACAAAAATGATAGAAATAAAGAATCCAACTGCTTTGCTTTGGAGAAAAGAACTGTCTCAGAGTGAGTATAATAAACCTCCCAAGGAAAAATCCAATTACAATAAATCTAGAATGTGAAAAAAAAGAGCCTGAGTATACTTCAGAACACATTTAAAGCTTATCTGCATCTGCTTAACAAGAAATACTGAAGACATATTTATTAACGTCAGTAGTTGTTACTGTGCATCTAACATGACGTGGGAAAGTCTTTTCGTACGTGGAGGTAGCACCCAGTCTAAATGTATGTGAATGGTAACAGGAAGGATGTGGTCTCTGTTTGGGCTGCTCTGCATTCACAAGCAGAAGTTTAAAAAAAAAAAAGGAAGTGAAAAAAATGAAGTCAGCAATTTCTAAGTAATTGTGTCTCTGGCTTTCCTTTTTTAAAGGTGTGAGGAAAAGGAGTCAACACCAGGGACCTGAAGACATTTACCTGGAAGACCTGAATGTACTTGAACCTGACGTTGCTGCTCGGTACTTTCCAAAAAGGTGCAGACTGAAGAATTCTTTCAGCTTGAATTTAGGATTATTTCATTTCAGTACTTGTGCTACTGTTGCTATCCAGCCCTACTGGTAAACAGAACCTCAGAATTGGTGAAAATAAAGTGAACTATTGTGCATTTTGGAGGAAATAAATACGGCAGCAACGACTTCTACAACTCTGTGACTCTAGTGTCTGAACATGACCCATCTGTCTGTTTTTCAGTGAGTCTGAGCAGGTTCCTAAACACTGGGTGGAGACGGGACGGCGCTCTGGATCCCAGTCGCCCCAGTCGGTGGGCAGCGCAGCAGCAGACAGCGGCACCGAGTGTTTGTCCGACTCTGCTGGCGATCTGCCTGACGTCACGCTGTCGCTGTGCGGTGGCGTCGGAGAGAACTCAGAGATCCCTAAAGGTAACAAATGATCTCTGCTATCAGGTGTTAATAAGTGGAGGAACTCTGGTAGAGACGTCAAACTCTAATGGGAACAGTAGTTTTCCCTCTAAAAGCCAAATAGAATCTGAAAACTGTATTGCTCATACAGATCATGAACCTATTTTGTATCTTAGAGGTGAGAAAACTACAATCTAAGGCATGTTTGCCCACATATACTGCATACATGCACTTATGGCGTATGTACGTTCTACTTTTTGACATTTATTCACACATTTTTATCTTAAATCTTTATTCTTTTTAATACTTTTTTAATCTCTCTTGTCTAAATCCGTTAATGATCTGATAGCTGGTGATTACATTTATTTATTACTGAAATTAGCCGGAAAACTATTTGAGCCTGACTGAATCCACCCCACACAGTCACATTAATGGCAGTGGAGGTGGAGTGGGAGCAATATTTCACAAAAGCTTACTAATCAACACAAGACCTAAACTTAGCCGTTACTCATTTGGAAGTCTTATTGTTAGTCTGTTACATCCAAATTTGTTCTGCAGGAGCTTTCTTCCTGTTAAAAGGGAGTTGTTGTTTTTTTCTACCAGAGCTTCTCAGAGGGAATCTTTTGATTTGTTGGGTTTCAGCGTCCTAAGTTGACTTTATGTAAATGCAGCTGATTTGAATTTCACTACTCATGTTACTTGTGTGTGAAAAATAAAGCTTTGACGTTGTGGTTTATGAGAGTGAAATAAGCAGGATTCATTATATTGTGGACTCACAAGCCTCTGTGCACAGATGGTGTTTTGTTTAAACGTTCACGTCTCTCCGCTTCCAGAGAAATTCATGGAGCACATCATCACCTACAACGAATTTGCAGAGAATCCAGCAATCATCGATAATCCCAATTTGGTGGTTAGAATCGCAAACAGGTGAGGTCTTCTTACACCCTAGCACTCTCGTTACAATTTTATTTAATGAATAATTAATAATAAATTGCATCATTTGCATGCGATAGCTAAAAAAAAAAACACGTTATTTTCCAGGTATTACAACTGGACGCTGGCAGCACCGTTGATACTTAGCATGCAAGCTTTCCAGAAGAACTTGCCAAAGGTATCTTCTAGTTTGTGTTTACATTGAGCTGCTTCTATCTGCACATCGGGCCTGTTTACTTATAAACCTTCCTTTCGACTGGCAGGCGACAGAGGAGGCCTGGGTGAAGGAGAAAATGCCAAAGAAGCCTGGACGCTGGTGGTTCTGGAGGAAGAGCAGCGTGAAACAGGTGTGATAGAGAACCTCTTTATTTAAGTGACTTTGCATTGTAAATAAGTCCAGACAGATGATCAGCACGTCACTGTTTTGCATTATTATGTAAAGACTCTCATAAAAGAGCCTTTATGTCAAATCTTCTACCGCGTGTTGGTGTTTATTTCTAGCTATTAATGTGAAAATATAGAAGTCTGATGATCTTTCATCCTCTCCTCAGTTATCGTCAGAGACCAAGTTAGAGCGACAGGAGTCTCTGACCAGAGAGAGTCCGGCCCTCCACCAGGCCCCAGAAACACAGTGAGTCAGCAACAAAGCTTCCTCACAACACTACAGTCACACACCGACGCAGCAGTGTTGGGCAAACATGTTGCACAGACGGTGGATCAGTGTGTGTTAGTCAGCGAGCGGTGCTGTCAATCCATGACTCATGAACTCATTAAGAATCTCCCCCAAATAAATTCTTACAATATCATTTGAACCAGGAGATTAACAGTGATGGAAATCATTAAGGATGTTTTCAGTGTAAAAGGAGGAAGCAGCTGAGGAGGTCTGCTGCCCTCTGCTGACTGTAAATGACCCTGAATCACATCATCTTGGATAAATGTGTCAGTGAATTTCCCTGCTGGTTGACTCAACGTTCTTCTGGCCAAATGCACAGTTTGCTCCGGTCTTGACACAGTTCTCTGGTCTGTGTTCTCTCTCTTGCAGGCAGAAAGCAGCCGAGTGGTCGAGCGATGACGAGACTAAAGAGCTGAACGCCGTGGCTCCTGCTCTGACACCTACTGAGCGCGTGCAGACAGAAGGCCCGGCGCCGGCGCCGTGTCACTCTTACAAGAAATCCCTCCGCCTGTCGTCTGCCCAGATAGTAAGAGACTGAAGTCAGCTGTGTGATTAACTAGGACAGGACAGAAGTAGACTCATCAATCTGAGTCACACTGATTATGCACACTGTAGCCTGAAGAAAAAGAGGCAAGAGGAGAGCTTTTTGTTTACTTTGGTTATTTATTTTGTGTATAAAACAACAGTAAGTTTTGTTTACTGACTCCCTGCAGCCTGGAAAAAGAGAACTGTGTTTAGCTTTTTATGCCAACAGTAGTGAGATCTCATCTTGATGAATTATATAAAGATAGACATGGAAATAAATGCTTTAATACAGGACAAAGAGACAAAGAGAGCAGCGCACACTTGTACATAGAAACTGTACATAGTGACAGAGTGGACAAAAATAAAACAAAGTAACGAGAGAATCAACAGAGTGAGATGCAAAGTCAAGGAAAAGTAAATCCAAGTAGCTGATCTTCAAGGATTGTCACGTCTGTCACTGAATGACTTTTATTTTATTTTGTTTTTAAACCTGATGAAGAGTCATTATTGTTCATTCAGTTGATATTTTGGTCCTTCTGGATGTATTTCAAAAAGGTCAGACTTCCATGAATGTTGCCAACAGATGTTATTGGGCTCTATGAGGTTGTTTCTCAAAATGCATATGAAAACCCAGACTGCCTTCAGACTTAATGAAGAAATATAGAAACCTGCTACGATATTCACCAGTTCTTCAGATCAAGTTGGCAAATTTGTGTATGAGGCATAATTTTCAGAATATTTTGGTGTGAAATTAGCTCAGTATGTTCTCAGTAACACTGCAGCCTCTAGTGGGCTTGTCACTTTTTTGTATTTTTATTTATACTCTGTTTTGATCATGTTGCTACCTTCCACTGATTTTTCACGGTTCTGAAACTTCTTTGGTTGACGTTTAACTAACACAAATGAGAACATGTTCCTCAACTAAATGTGGGTCTAAACTGGAATCTGCGTCTCTGACAGGCCAGCCTGAAGCTGAGGGAGGGACCAAACGACGTCACCTTCAGCATCACCACCCAGTACCAGGGAACGTGCCGCTGCGAGGGAACCATCTACTTGTGGAACTGGGACGACAAGGTCATCATCTCCGACATCGATGGCACCATCACCAAGTACGGGAAATGCGCACACCTCTTTGTTATGTTCTATTAACTCTCAGGGTGGAAAAGTCCTCGCAGCTGTACTTTTCTATTTGGCACAGAATGTTCAGTTGAGTTCACTGCAAACTTTTACTATGAGAGCAGTCTATTTATTCCCAGAACGGAAACTTTAGAGTCCACCCTGAACTTTTTGGCAGTGCGGTTGTCCTATATCAGCTATAGCATGCTGGTCCTGTTTTATCACTCTTGTTTAACATGTTAAATCATTATATATGTTATAAAACAGCTGGTTTAGCAGGATGCAAACAACAAATACGGTGAAGGCAGACAGTATTCTAAATAACTCTAAGATCACAGCAGGCTGGTGATTGAATGAAATGACTTATCCAGCTCCAGCGTCTGGTGAGTCTTGGAAAAAAACCTGCCATCTGCAGTGTCCCCACTCCGTTCCTCTAACATTTTCCATCATGCAGCAGCGATGACACATCCTACAGATGCGTGGACAGTATTTGAAACTTGGTCTAACATCATCTTGGAGCTTTCTGACATTTTTTTTGTCGCAGCTGACGCATCATTCATGTGACACGTATTTTAAAGGGACGGCTAACAGAGTTTAAAATATTCTAATCACACTAACATTTGGTAAAAAGAGAAAATATATAATTAAACCTGCATTGCGGAACTTGTTCGCCCTCTTCTGGCAGCAAATACTGCCATTATGACATCATGGATTGTTTTTGTTTCCTGAGATTATAATCCTTTCTCTGTACAATGATTTTTTCTTTGAAGCATCAGAAGCTTCTCTTGTTCTCTTGCTGGGTCAGACTCTGTTATACTCCTGGTCACTGCAGTCTACTCCTCAGTTCCTTCTTGTTGCTGGTTCATGTAAAACACATCACCAGTGTGCTAATGTGTGAATGTCACCACAGAAAGCAGACTTTCAACTCCAGTGTCCTGTGAGTTACAGAGAGTTTAACTAAAACAGATGAGCTTAATCAGCATTGAGTGACTTCATTTGGACGTTCTTTTATGTCTAAAAATCTACAATTGTGTTCGGCTAAATTGTATTATCAGCTAATTCTGTTCCCGTCATGTTAATCTTTCCCCTCAGATCAGACGTGTTTGGTCAGATCCTTCCTCAGCTCGGTAAAGACTGGACTCACCAGGGAATCGCTAAACTCTACCACTCAGTGCACGAGTAAGAAACAGTTCCCACGATCACACTCTGTTACCGTCTGTTATAAAGACAGCAAAGGATTTAACCAGAGACTCTCTGACCGCTGCAGGAATGGCTACAAGTTCCTGTACTGCTCGGCCCGAGCCATCGGCATGGCTGACATGACTCGAGGCTATCTGCACTGGGTGAACGACAGAGGGACCCTCCTGCCTCAGGGGCCCCTCATGCTCTCTCCAAGCAGCCTCTTCTCTGCCTTCCACAGGTAAGAAACCCTCCGTTTCCGATGCTCGACAACAAGACGACTCCATCTGAGAGTCATCACAGGATTTAGGTAATAGATGTTTATCGAGCTCTGCTGGCAACCAGAGTTTAGCAGCAGCAGCTTCGACAGAGACGGATACGACTCCTCCACAAAATTACAGTGGAGACAAAACAAAAAACCATCGAGGAAGTTATTTATTACAACGCAAATGACAGTCATTTTGCTTTGTGTTTTGTTTGTCTGACTTTGCGATAAAACTGTTATTTCAACAGCTGTCACACTGTGAAGACTAGAATTTACAAAAAGTAGGAACATAGCGCAGCATTTTATTTACTGTTGATGGTATAATCCTGTGCCTTTAAGATGCTCAGTAAGCTACGAAGTCATAACAAATTAGCTCCATTAAAAGCAGGCGTCTCCAGCAGTAGCAGCGGGTCGGAGGTTAATTCAGTAATCCGTTTGAAATCCTCTCATCAGGGAGATCATAGAAAAGAAGCCTGAGAAGTTCAAGATCGAATGCCTCACAGACATCAAGAACCTTTTCTTCCCAAACACACATCCCTTCTACGCTGCCTTCGGAAACAGAGCGAGCGTAAGTGTAATGTTTGAGTTTTCTCTCATCACTGCAGATTACATTTTTATGAAACAGCAAGAAAATCATCCTCGCTGTCTTTTTTTTTGTTCCTCCCGTACATCAGGATGTGTTTGCCTATAAGCAAGTGGGTGTGCCCGTGTGCCGGATATTTACAGTGAATCCCAAAGGGGAGTTGATCCTGGAACAAGCCAAAGGCAATAAAACATCGTAAGTAATGACCCATCAGTGGAGTCATTGTTTTCGTCTGTCAGCTGTTTCTCCCAGACAAACGTTTATTGTTTTTCCACTGCTCTTTTTTTTTCTTTTTCATATTTGGCAGATACAGCCGGCTGAGTGAGCTGGTGGAGCATGTTTTTCCTTTACGGAGTACACAACACAACGCCACCTTCAGCTGCCCCGAGTTCAGCTCCTTCTGCTACTGGAGAGAGCCCATCGCCGAGGTTTGCTTCGAGGAGCTGCTTTGACTCAAAACATCCTCGGGTTTCTTACTTGAAATCAGCTGAGTTTCTCTTCCAACTGAACGCACTCGTGCAATACCGATGACGTTTGTCAGTTTTGTCGGCCGCTGATGTCGGCTTGGACACATTCTGCTTCGGTGGAAAAGTTTGAGATGTGAATGTTTCCCATATTTTTTTTATGCGCAACACAATCTTCTCAATTAGGGGTTGATTCCCTTCATGCACTTGTAATCTTTGTGTCGGAGCCACACGGACTAGTTTTGGCTTGTGTCAAAACTCTGACGAATGTGTCGTTCTTGCCATTTGCACAGTTTATGTTACAGTACATAGAAGTCAGCACTTATTTAGGCAGCGGAGGTGAAGAAAACTGGCCAACGTGGAACAAAACTACTGACTGTAGTGCTCCTTTGAGAACCACACGGTGTATCGGAGCTGTGTGTCGTCCTTTAAGGCCTCATTCGCTCTGTAACCGTCGTATTTAATGTATTCTGCTCCAAAGCTCAAGGACTTTGCACTTATATGCTAAGAAGTAAAGTGTGCTCATAGATATTAACTGCATTAGTGCAATTTAGACAAAAAAAAATCACTTTCTGATGTGTAGATAGCTGCTATTTGGTAAGTTTTTTTTTTAAATCAATAGTTTAAATTAGAGTGTCCAACTATTTTTGATGAATCCTGACTCTTTGCCAGATGTTGCTGTTGTGAAAACTGCAGGATGTGAACGTCTGTCTGTCTGTATTACTTTCACGCTCAGTAACAGTCAAATTTACTGCATTCTTTCTATGAAAGTGATCGACTTTGTGTGAAGAAACCACACAGTATTTTCATAGTTTTGTTTTTGAAGTTCACTTTTCAATAAGGACCCATTTTGCTGCTGCTTCAGGTCTGTTTCTGTAGATTGTTGTGATTTCCTCGTAAACCGGTTTACATTAAGATGTAAAGCACAATGGATGTCTGGAGGTTTTCATAAATATGTTGGGACTGTTTGAGAGGTGAGATTTAAAAACGTGAATCATTTTTACAGAGCGCCAAAACTGTCGATTTTGCTGTACATAAACTCTAAGCATAGAATATTTAATGTTTGTACAGTATTGTACTGATGAACTGATGTCTTATGTTGGATGATGCTTTAATAAAACCACTGTATTTAAAAGATTGAAGCTTTTTTTTTGTACATTTAGCACCAACATGGTTTTAAAAACTTGAGGTGAAGACATGTTTTCAGGTTTGCAGGTACAATAAGTCTCCAGCTATGAATATATTTCTATGTAATGCCATTTGGAGTCACTGATGTGTGTTTGTGTCGGTGAATTACAAGTTTTTACCAACAAGTTGTATCTACAAAGTGATGTTGGTGCCTGGCTTTTAAATATTAAAGGGGAAACTTAGACATTTTTAAGCAAATATCTGTAAGAGCGAAGTCAAAAACAAAACAATATAAAATAATTGCATTGAACCTATATATTAGTACCCATGAGAGGAGACGTTCTTTCTTTTCCTTCTGGTGAACACATCGTCCCTTCCTCCGTGTATCCCCAGTACCGTGAACCGAGCTCCACCTGTGGCTTATTTAACGTGTTGGTTTTGTGTGTGGGAGTGGAGCAGCTACCGTTTCGAAGGGCTGGGGTAAAGAAGCACGACGCTGAAAGACGACAGGATCTCAGATGAGGCCGAGACGGCGAGCTTTCCTGCGGTCACGACCAGTCCGGCTCGGTCTCCTCGGCTCAGAGACAGAACGAGGCTCAGTGAGGTCGAGCTGCTGCAGCCGCACTGTTCATGTGGAAGCGGTGCGGCGGCTCCGGACAGGAAACCTGCAGAGTCCAGCCTCTGGATGCTGTGATTGGACACTGACAGGACGGCCTCGACCTTCTCGCCTCGCTGGGCTGCGAGCACAGCTGTCACCAGGTAGCGGCCGTCTGTAGGAGCTGTGAAGACACCTGGAAGCACAGGAGACGCTCTTAATGCACTGATTCTTCTGGTCCAAATACATCTACAACTACTAGATAGATTCCCAGTAAATTTTGCAGTCATTCATGATTTCCAGAGGATCCTCTGGCTGTTCCTATGGCAACATGAGGTTCACATTTTTGTTTTGTAGTGAAGCTGCTCAAATCTAATGCAGGCCTTAATGTTTTCTTTTTATCTGTATGGAAGTCGACATTTTAATTCAGGGAGAGTAGATATTCATGGAAAAACGATGTAACTTGGAGACACATAAGTTTTTAGGGTTAAATCAATGACCAGAGAACTGGGAGTGTCACGATATACCAGCAAAACATGCATGTCAATAATACACACATGATCACCTCATAAACAATCCAGCAGCAGTAACTATCTGGTCGATGCTCCAAGATGACAGTGTTGCATCTTGCAGCGCCCACAAAAAGCACTACCATTACTATTCCTTTTGTTCACCTTGACTATAGAGCTACAGATTAGTTATTCAATCGAAATAGAACTAATATTTTGATGATGAGTTCTTTAAGCAGTTTGTGAAGCAACTATCAGAGTCTGTCTTTGTCATATAAGAAGATTTACTTCCTTTTTCATGTTCCTGTCATTCCAAGTTGAGCATTCTGTGGTTTAAGGCTGTTTGTCAAACAGAAGAGGAACGCCACTGTGGGTCTGTGGGTAACTGTGATTGAATGATTCACCGTTTTTCACATGCTTTGTCGATTAATTGATTGATTTATCAGAGCTAGAATCTGTAAAAACAGAAAGAATGATTGGATTTTGACCTTCTGATGGATCTTAAACTAATCATCTAAGCTCAAAGTTGTGATATTTCACTGAAATTACTTTATTCTACACGTCTCATTTTAAAATGTAGGATTTTAATTTCAATTCACCAAAAAAGCATTAGCAGTAATCGCATTTTGTAAAAAAAAAACAAAAAACTGAACTCGACTGAACTGCAGGCTGTGTTTGCACAGAGCAGACAGGAGATAGAAGTCATCTATAGCATGTGTGGTCCCCAAAAGAAATGATGTGCACGTTGAATCTATTTTTTAATTATTTTTTTTATTTGAAATAATTTATGGCACAACAGTTATGCTGCTCAAACGATACCTTTGCCTTCTCTCTACTTCTACTCAAGGTTGTCTGTTTCCATAGAGGTGCACAACTTTACATGGCTTTTTCTTCCCTTTTTTTTCAAATGTGACAAATGCCCAGAAACTGCTTGGGTTTCAGAGGGTTAATGAAAACATCTACACAGCTGTTAGCAGTTTTTAAATATCACTCTAAACTCAGAACTATAGAGACTCAAATGAGGAAGGAAAGTTGTAGTTTTATGCTCCCGTGTCTGGACCAGAGTGACCGTAGTAACGGATACCTGTGTGAGGGTCATAATGTCCTCCATCATTGATCAGCACTTTGTCGAATCGAATGATTCCAACGTCTCCTTGGAACGGTGGGAGAGTCAGACCGGCTGAGAACGACACCTTGTCACCTGCAAACAGGAACATCACACGTTAGCAAACACGACAGGAGCCGAGGCAGGAAGCTGAATAATGAATAAATTCAGACCTGAATCCTGTGGTGGAGGTCTGAGGGGCATGTTCACTACTGTGGGTCAAATAAAAACAGTTTCACTCATTCTTCAACAGCTCAGGTATGATGTAGCACTAAAACTTAAAAAAAGGGAACGTACCTGAGATCAGAGGCGTGCTGGTCTTCAGGGAGTCGGTGGATTTGAGTGGGGAAGCTGTGAAACAAAACAAAAAGATGAGACAAAAGAATGATGCTGAGTGTTTGCACAGGTGGCCGCAAGCTCACCTGGAGCTCCGGCAAAACCCAGAACAGGCACCATGCTGCCGTCGGTTCCTTTGGGCAGCTTGGACTGAGCCATCTTGCCGGGGGGGCCCGCCTCTCCGGTCTCCATCACAGGTGGCTGAGGGAGGGAGGCGTCCACGGGGCCCATCGGCACGGCGAGGCCTTCAGTCGAGCCCTGAGGAAGTCCCGCGTCCTCCAGTCCGACCTGAACACCTGAACAGAGCAGACAGGCAGTGAGCGATGAGGGAGAGGCTGCAGGTCAGAGAGGCACAGATGTTTGGAGGTCAGATATGCGAACAAACCAGCTGCTTACACAGCGACTCCTGAAGCTGACCATTATAACACCACAGAGCGCCTCTCCCAGTCAAAACCTTAAAATTACGCACACAGAATGCCAGCGGAGGTCACTTTTTATGAAGATAAGTTTCTTTCTAATGCTCCCATTCATCCTGGAGTGTCAGTGCTGGTGATGTAACGGCATTAAAACAAATCACCGTTCACACGACCATAGTTATGTCACCTTTAATGCACTAGTTACTGTAATTATACAGATTTCAGTGATAAATCCTGCTCAAAGCAGACTTTTGGTTTAACCTATATCATTAAATAGCCGCATTCCATCCAAGCATGCCAGTTCCAGCGCCCTACGAAGATAAGATGAGATAAGAAGAGATAGACCAGTTTATATCCTGAAGGGAATTCTTGTGCCAGATGTTACTGAAGAAATTACAGCAGCTTAAGAATACAACAGTGAAACACCAGCGCCTGGCAGGGGGAGAAAAAAATAGAAAAGTAGAAAACTAATATCACATGTGATATTAAAAGTCAAGCTGGCAAAGATGCTGTAAAGTATTAAAAAGTAATTATTGCACTGGAGAAGTGATCTTGCACCGAGCATATCATTGTGCTGACTCACTGGAATGACTCAGCAACATGTCAGAATGTCAGTATTATTAACATTAACGTGATTTATTACAGTACACGTCGGTCATTACATCTGAAATCATCTCATTTCTGCTCCAACATCTCTGACTTGCCTGAAATTTTATTAGCATGATATATATATATAAAGATAGTAGTTACATTTTTAGCTAAATATACTTCATAAACTTTAAGAGACACATTTTTTTTAACTGCCCATCTTCCCACTTTCAGCATGTTTTGCAGAATATTGCACTGATCAATGCCAGTGTGGTGACTGATAAGTGTCTATTATTTTTTTAAATATATTGTTTTCAATCTTGTGTACGCACACAACAGACAGACAAACCCACACCTTGTCGGATACAAAGAAAAGCCATCTGAATATGAGCGGGTCAAAGTAGATCAAAGTTTCTGTCACAGTGTTTGTCTTGATCATTTTACAGTTTATTGCAATGTTTATTATTCATAATACCAGATGTTTTCTGGAAATGTAATTGAGAAAGTGGCTAAAATATAAATGAATATAAAATTACTGGTGTAAAATAAGAACTTCTTCGCACTGATTTGTTTGGTTGGTGGTTAAAATGAGAGGAGGCACAATAACTAGAGTGAGGTCATATACTGACTGTCTGACTGATGGCTGAAAGAAAAACAGATAATGCTCAGTAAGGAACCTCGACAGTCCTCAGAAGCATAACAAAGCCTTCGCTCTCAATATAACAAGAGACATTTGTGTGTTTTGCATGTAAAACCCATATTTTGGGGAAAGTTTCTGTTGTTTCTTTTAATTTGCACATTTTTTTTAGAGATGCTGCATTTAACCAAAACAGCAAAGTCTCTTAGCAGTGGACACATTTGTTTTGTCCACACCTTTAATACAACTCTACCACCAACTACAATAAAAAAAAAATATATAGTGCATTTTAATTTTCTCCTGTCAAGATGCTTCCGGTATTTTTTTCCCACTGTCTTTGTTTCACATGAAGCAAAACTGAAGTGTGTTTGCATCAACAAAAAGCCTGACAAACCTGATAGGAACAACACATCATATTGTACGGTGTGATTTTATCTTGTATATGTAATTTTCACTTGCAAGAAACATGCAATTTGTGTTAAAGTTTATGGCAGCGCTCCTGCTGAGTGTCATTAACAGCCTAACAGTGAGTGGTTATCTGAGCCTGTTATTAGGGACATAAACAGAGTAAATGACAGTCCGCTGCTCCATCTGCCATCATATAGCCACCGTCTGTAAGCGACTGCATTCCTGAGAGCCACAGCCGAGAAGAATCCCGGACTTTATCAGCTAATCATCTGTCCCCCATGTGCTTGGAGGCATATTGCTGCTGCTGCTGCTCTCTGGGCTACTAAACAGACCCCAATTTTGCTGTTTAAAAAGGGGAAACCAGCACATAAAAGGAATACCAGCAGCATACCGAGGCACGGCCACATGTTCAATCACCAGACAGCTTGTCCTCACCCCTCGGCGAAGGGTCATTTAGCATAGAAGCCGGGGAAGTCTGCCTGTTAAACGCAACATGTGCAGAGAGACCGGTGAGTAGCTGTAAAACTGCACAGGGGGTAAGTCTGCGAATACGCACATGTGCTTGTCTGGTTTCTCAGCCGTGTCCTTCCTCATATAAAGCCAGGTATGCGAGCAGACTTTGATCCGAAAACTGATTTCAGACCTACTGCCACCAGGATAAAAGGGGCAGGATGCATGTCTGCAAGTGAGAGTGTTGGTCCTGATGAAAGAGGTGAGCCGTAAACAAATGCAGCTGGATCTACCGTCCACCACAAATTTGCAGTCTTCCACCGAGGCATCATGGGAAATCCTCCCTTTGTTGTTGCTGGATACAACGGCCCCTTGTGTCCCAAGAACTGCCACTTTCTACATTACATAGCACATAATAATGACCGCACAGCCAATTTGGTGCATGTTGACTTTATGAGTCACCAAAACACGCCGGGCTTTTCGGGCTTTGATTTAAGAATCCATAAATCCAGTCTCAGAATTCAGCGCTCCAAGCAAAACTCAGGAGAGAGAGAGAAGAAGGAGATTGATATATTTCGTACGCCAACCCTGCACAAATAACACCTCCTCAGTCAGGGCGAGCGGGTACAAATGAGGCTTAAAGCAGCAGCAATCCTGAAGACTTTATCGGTCTTGAGGGCTTCAGTCGGGTCCCGTCTTGCTCGAGGTTGGCGGGGTTATCGTGTTTGACCGCAGTGCGTCCACCTTATCTCCCACAGGTCATGAAGCCACGAGCCAAACTACTTGTCAGAATCAGGAAAGCATGCGTTCTTATCTGAAGAGGTTTCCATAATAGAGCTCTTTAGCTGTTTCAAGTGAGCCTCCTTATCAAACACAACGGCACTTTGTAGTGTTTGGCTCCCACATGTAAATACTAGTGACCTAAATCTACTAAAAACATGTTAAATGGGACGACACATCCTCCACCGAGGCCCTCTTCCACAGTTTGACCCAGAGTGGCCCAGATCTGCACTTAATGGCTTTTCCTCCTGCCCATGATCCACCTCTTCACTAGGTTTAATGAAATTTGGCCTGGTAGTTTCTGCATATTCTTAGCTGACAGACAGAGAAACAAACCTTCATCGCTGCTCTTGATTTCCCAGAGAGAATCAAGAATGGGCAAAAAAATACCTGAGAGCTAAATGTCAGATTCTCTTGTAAACAAAAGTTCTGTTTACATTCAGTGTTCCCTGCAGACATCTAACCAGTGTGCAGGAAGTAATTGTTTCCTCGCACAACACTTGTAAAGCTGAGTTTTTAATAAGAATCATGCCATGTTTACATCCATCGCTAGCTTGCAGTCGTCCTCACTGCCTTTGCAGGCTACGTTTAAAAACGGTGGAATAGAGAAAGTGTATCGCATTGACTGTGCAGGATGATTACTCGCGGCAAAAGACTCCACAGGGAAGCCTAACTTTGACTAAAAACAAAGAAGCATCAACTGCATCCCATCATCTTCATTAGTGCTTAGTTTTTCTAACTTGTCATGGATGAAAATTATGAAAGAATGCAGTCTGTCTCGTAACCCTCGAAGCAGTTTGAGTGTTTTTTTTTCCAGTCGTGTTGCATTTTCACTCACTGTGGACTCGTCCTGCACATCTATGTAAACAGCAGAACCCCAGCTAGAAGTAGAGAGAACTCACAAACACCTTCTTTACAGGATGACACACTTATAATGAAGTTGAAATTTTAAGAAAATGGAATCAACATGTACATAATTTTTCTAAGTGCCCACAGGTGCGGTTTAGCCAAATTCAGGAGAATAGTTTGTGAATTTTTGTCACATAGTTGTTGGTCTCAGCGGAGTCATGAACAGTTTCTCTGTTGTTCTGAGAAGCACAGAATTGTTTGTTTTTTACAGAATCTGGACCGAAAGCTGTGAATGATTACTTCAGTCTTAGATTTGGGTGTTTTGATTGGTTCAGTGACTGAGGAAAGCTGGAAATCTGACATTCTTCTGTGTTTTGACAGTTTTTTGATTTTGGTGATTTTGGTGATTTTGGTGATTTTGGTGATTTTGGTTGGCTTCAGAGGGTTAAGTCACAACTTTACAACTATAAAGTCAAGAATGAACTTTTATGAGTTTTTATGCGACTTCGAGGACACGATCAGCCGTGTGATGTACTTCCTTCATTAATCTGTGGCCGTTGAATGAAAAATGGACTGTCACACAAAATCTCACTGGCATTTCTTTTATGACTTCACAAGCAATAATAAATTCATTCTTGAACTGTTAGCATGCAATGACAGATTACAGCTCCTCTCGTTCTCTTCCTGACCCGCTCTTTTAAGGTTAACAACTGGCATGACATCATGGTAAACATATTGACGGATGGCCTTTGGGACCTCGGTGCAGCTTTGAGTGTTCGCAGTGTTTATTTCAGCAGAAAAGGAACTCAGCCATGGACGCTGAGAGGGAAAAAAAGTGAGAAAACTGCAGATGGGACTGAAGAGAAGGAAGCGAAAAAACATAAAAGCACTGAAGAGGCTGTGAGGGAATGGGGCGATATAAATGTCGGTCCAGTAGCACCTCATCGGAACACACTTGGCTCTGAAATAAAGAGCGGTCCCTGCGAGGGGATCCCTGATAAGCTGTGTGCAGCTCTATCTGGACGGACTCCTCCAGGCGGCATTTTCCAGTCTCTTCAGATAAGCAGGGCGGGAGATGTCAGGATGAGGTAGCTGACAGAGGAAAGACAAACAGAAAGGCCTCCAGCTTCTCCGAGAGCGAGTGGAAATCATGAATAAGTGTGCTCTCGCTTGCAAAACTTCTCAATGACAGATTGATGAATTAAATGCCACATAACGACAAAAACCATGGGGTGGTAACAGCTCTTAGTCATCGCAGGCCGAGTGGTGAAAATGAGCAAACTGGCATCTCAGAGCTTGCACGGATGAATCAGAGGATTTTGATGCAAATCCTTCAGTCTCACTTCGACTGAACGAGAACTATCTGATTCCTCCTGTTATATTCTGACTGCATCACCTGCCCCATAAAGCAGTAACTGAAACTAGCTGGTCCCAGAGGGAGAGCCCCGGCTCGTAAACATTATGGGTGTGCGTCTAGTTTACAACTCTGAAGTCCAGCTCGGTCTCACAGGCACCATTAGCGACTCATACGAGAGGTATGCAACATATGCGCTGATCTGAGCATCTACACTCTCGAGCAGATCCAGTATTAATGATAAACAAATGGCAACAGATCCACGTAAGGCTCAGCCAACGAGATCACCCTGATGTTCTCGTTTAAAGTAATGAAAATACTTTACATCCCCAAAAATGTAATATACCCAGGTATACGTTTTTGTTTTCTTTGGCAAACGCGCACATAAATGCACACTTGGATGCACAAATAAGCCTGGTGAGCAATATTTCTTCATGCCAAGGCATTGCTCAACACAAGTGGGGTCTATTAAATCAAGCATGTGTGTTCAATAAAGGCCGCCTGCTTTAACTGAGAACACGGTTAAATGAAAATCCAACTTCCTCTCACTCACACACTGAAGCGCAGTCCAACAGTTCAGCCTCTCCAACAACACCGTCAGCCCGGGATAAACAAATGAGCTGCGGCCCAGGCAATGATCTAAAAGGACGGGATGTATCGCAGCTATTTGATTACTATCTCAGACTATTGAAAATTCTGCGGCCAGTAAATCAACTTTGGCCTGACGAAAACCTGGAAAATTAGGGTTAAAGCGAGATGATGTGACTACGAGTAGTGGCATTTACAGGAAAGCTAAAAGTAGAGAATAGTCAGTGAACTGAGGCAGTAATGTTTATTAAACCACATCACCAGTAGATAACGTTAGCATCCTCAGCAGCTTTTTGTACGGGACCATGTGTATTTTTGAATTATTTCCTCTTTCATGAGTTAGAAAGTGTGACTGGGAACAAGGCAATCCTTCAAAGTGTCAGGTGATGTTTGGATTCCTGCACAGACCGCTTACCTTGTTTCCCAGGAGAGCTCTTGGTCAGCAGCTGAAGGTCTCTGGCTACGTCTGAGATGTGGTTCTGCAGGGCTTGACAGGTTCCCCTCAGTCCTCCGATGTCTCGAGCATGAGCTCTAACCGTGCCGTTCAGCTGGTTCACGCAAGTCCACAACCCAGTGACGTGTTTATTCAGCCCCTCTTTGATCCTCTGGAGGCTACCAGAGATAGGATCCAGCTTGTTGCATAAAGCCTCCACATTAACGATGCGGCTGTCCATGTGGGCGACCTCCCCCTCCACATCTTGCGTTTTTTCCCTGCAGCGATCGGCCTCAGCTTTCACCTCCCTGCCCAGCTCGTCCAGCCGCTGCCTCAGCTCCCGATGCTGTGTTCTGTGGAGCTCCAAAAGCTCCTTGGCCTCCTGCTCAGTCCCCGTTTTAACCGGTCCCCAGGTGGAGTTTAGTGTCTGCTGGACTACATCTGACAGCGAGCTCTCCAGTCTGTCCACACGACCTTTAATGTAGCTTAACTCGTCGTGTACGTTCTCAGCTCCACTGCCATGTATCTGGGATTTTAGATGAGTCTCCATAGCATCTACAGCAGTTTTACAGTTCTGGTAGTCCTGCTGAAGGTCTTCTACAACAGTCAAATTAGCTTTGCACTCTTTTGAACACAACTGGTCCAAGCCATTGAGTCTGTCCTCCAGAGTTTGAACAGAACCCTTCAGAGAGCTAACGTCCCTCTGCAGAGCATCTGGTCTCTCTGGCTGACCCCCCGATGGAGAGTTGGTGCTTGTGTCTATCAACAGGGTGGTGAGTCGGTCCTCCATGGAGGCCAGCTTGTCCTCCAGAGTGTCCCTTAGATCTTTAATGCCATCCGACTGTTCCGTCCTCAGCTTTTCCTCGACAGAGTGGCAACACTTTACAGTCACGTCTGATGAGTTCAGACGGATTTCAAGGTTCTCAACGCGAGCCACAACAGAGTCCGATACCCGCTTGTCTTCCTTTCCTGGATCAGTCAGTTTGGTCTTAAGGTCCTGGATCTCACTGCGGAGGTCACTTTCCTTTGAGTCCATGAGCTCGGCCAGGCTGAGGTAGTTGTGTTCCTGTCCTTCACACTGCTCCTGAACTGACATGATTTTATAATCACAGGAGTTCTTCAAGTCTGCCATTTTGATTTCAATGCCCTCCATCAACTCCTCTCTCAGAGCGCGGATCTTATCGTCCAGATAGGCCCGCAGGTCTGCATTGCTGACTGGGGGGGCAGGATGAGGTGTGGACAGCGGAGTCTGGCCAGCTTCCATTAGCAGACGAATTTGTCCATCATGGTGGCTGACACGACCCAGCAGGTCCTCCAGGGTGTTGCTCTTGGACTCCAGATCATGTGAGACCTGGTTAATCTTGTTCATGACCTCGTCCATCGCCAGCGTCCCCTCATCAAACGAGAAGTCCTGCACCTGAATGGTTTCGGTCTCGGCGCCCCGTGCACTGGCGGGCTGCTTGAGGTTATTTACCAGCGTAATCAGCATCTTACTGGCATCCTCCTGGAAGTCCAGTCTCAGGTTGGAGGACATGTCTGTCATTCTCGCCTGCATGTCGAGGACCATCTGGGAAAGTCGCTGCACCTCCTCCTCCAGGTGTTGTGGACTCTGGGATGTTCTGTGAGCCTGTACTGGCCTGTGACCTGTCTGACCTCCAAACTGCCCCGCCCCTCCCCATGGATGGTTTCTCTGGCCATGTGTTCGCTGATCTGGAGCTACACCAAAAAAACAACAGTGAGACAGTTAGATATCAGGAACATTAATGCATTTTTTTGACACTATTAAAGAAGTTACTCTAATTTTACTTGTTTTTGTGCAAGACCTGCTCATATTCTAGTCATGTATTTCACCTTGTGGAGCAGGAAAATGTCCAGAGGCGGAGGGAGCCTGAGGCAAACGCTCCACTTGGAGTAGCTTCATGTCTTTCACCTCCCTGCAGTCGTGGCCCTGGTACCCCGGGCAGCACCTCCACTCCAGCTCTGTTACAGTCTTGTAGGCAATTTTGTACATGGGCCTAAAATGTGTTTGATATCTAGGAACACAACACACAAAGATGTAAATACATTCAGGTTATAACTACAGGATCTATCATACCATGTGATTGTGGACTAATGAACAACAGAAGTAAAAACTCGACTCAGACCAATTCCCCCTCTCAGTAAAACAACATAAACCTTGATAAACAGAGCAGTAAAATCAGTTTGTTGGTAATTAGGACAAGATAAACGCAGCTCACATTAGCAATTAATTAATCACGCAGTCCAAAGGAAGCAACTCAACACTTTCCACCACTTCCACTCACGAGGCCTGCCACCCAGTGATTAACTACATGTCATTAATGTATTTGTTGCTCAGTGAGACTGAGGCCAAGCAGAGGGAGAGTCAGAGTAATGTGTTTGGCATTCATAAACACAGATGTCTGACTATGATGTGTTTTGCTTTGCATCTTAAAAATTCTGCAAGGAATTACTTCAATTTTTTTATTCACGCTTTTTAAGAGACAAAAACAAAGCAAATAAGTGCATTGTGAAATACTGATGTCTGTGTAGGTTGTCAGTAATCCAGGTCATGGTAATCCTGGAGGCTTCACTTAAAAATAAAGTCCAGTTACTTTGTACTCAAACTACAAGGATGAATGCATGCAAGAATACATACACAATAATGAGATATTGTTTTTTTTTTTTTTAATGGCTACTTTTGACCTTAAGTTAAAAACAAGAAATAGGTCAAGAACATGTGCTTAACGAATGGGAATGTTACAAGAACTGTAGGCACAGAAAGTCTGAATGAACGCTGTGAAGTTGTTATCAGTGTTAATAACAGCAATTTGCACTTAGAGATCTCGTCCAACTGTATAATAATGAAATCGGTATTGTTTCATATTGCAAAAAAAGTACAGACAAAGACAAAGCAAATCCACCCTCCACCCGATGTCCAGCACTTCTGGGAACTTACATCACTTGTTGCGCGCAGTTTGGCAGCTCCGGTGGACACGGCAGAACCTCCGGCTGCATGAAACTCTCCGTGCCTCCCACGACGGCACAGCTCACGTTCTTGTGCACAACGTAGGCACACCAGTTTCTGCAGAAAAGGACTTTTTAAATCGCGTCTTGTTGTCGTGCAGAAGAAGGCTGCAGCGCGTATCCATTGCTTACCATTACGCACAGATAGGAGGAAAACCCAACGGGTTGTTCATTAACTCGTAGACATGTTATAAATGACACACACATCCAGTTTTACTCACTTGTTCCTTTGTCGTGTTTCGGTGCCAGAATACGCGTTCCCCTGAAACATGCTGTACTGGAAAGGTGACCCACTGATGAGAGGGAAAGTTATTAAAAAGTGAAGAAGTCCGCGCTTCATTGTTGAAATATTGAAATGCTTTCAGATGGTAATCAGAAGTGGAAGTCTGTGGTCTGGAGATCAGTCAAGGCTCTGCGGGTTGCTCCCTCTCTGTGGTGCGCAGATCTAAACAAGCTCCTTCCAGCGTCCTTGGATGTGACGTTTCGGGACCCCCTCCAGTACTGACAGAAGCCGTTTTCCGTTTTCTCACATCTCTCTCTCTCTCACACACACACACACAATCCGGATCCAGCTCCAGCTTCCTCTCACATATAACCACACTGTCATCGGCCGACAGAATTTCCGTGCACCTAAACTTAGATAATGACCGTTTTTGCTTTAGTGGCACCGTATTTACCCCGTGCGTAAAATGTGTGCGTATCGTCCGCGCGCCAGATCCATCAACATAAGGTTTCGTATTTTGAAGTTTTATTCTTCAACAAGGTTAGTAATGGTTATAAATATTCACACAGACAAAGGGATATCTTGAGGAAATACGCATTTATATATTTATATATATATATACTCATATAAAAAATAAAATAAAATAAAATAAAATAAAATACACATTCAATCATGAGCGAATCTGTTACAAAGCAGTTAAAACACTGAAAAAAAACCTATTCTCTGACAACATTCACATTGATTATTGTACTTAAAATAAAAAAAGTGAAAGAAAATTACAAAAGAAGCCTGTGCTCAAACTCTCAGGTTGGACTACTGAGTCTCTTATGTGGGCTTTGCTCTTTTCATATTGATGCCAGATGGCTCACCAGCTCCCTCAGCACCTCGTTTCACTGGTCTTACTGGTGTTGACTCTGGAAGAAGAACACAGACTAGTTACAAATCAAGACTACTAAAGGATTTTTAAAAAAAAGAGTAAAAAGCTGACTCCCTGATCAACTACCATACCGAGTTGTCTGTTAATGTCCATCAGCTGTTCCTTCTTCTCTTCCATGTCTTTGTGCTTTTTGGTCATATCAGGAGAACGAAGGTTTCTTAAGAAATCGTTTCGCTCCTTTTCTGCCTCCTCCTTCTTCCTCACAGCTAACTGGTACTGCTGGAGCAGCTCTGTTCAAAACACACAAATTAAAGCATAATCTCACTGAACTAAACCACAAAGAAAAAAACTTTAAATTATGAGTACAAGAGGTGTCACCTATGTCTCTCTTAAGAGTGTGGTAGATCTGTGGGAAGGGGGCTCCAAACACAGGTATTGTGTTCATCGGTGGGGCTTTGTTCTGAGCACCGCCGAACTTGCCCTTGGCACTGACTCTTTCCCCCTGCCTGGTCAGGATGGTGGGACACTGTATCTTCTTCTGCACCACCTGCAAGCAACAGCTCATTTAGAGGACAGATAACCACCAGCCAGGTAATACTGCACTGTTATGTCAGTGAGCATCACTCACCTCCCTCCTGTAGTTATTTGCAGATTCCAGGTCATCAATCAGAATCGTATTTCCCAGGATGTTTTTAAACACTTGAAGGAGAAAAACACAAGCAGGAAACTTTCAGAAATGTTGTAGAGTTTTTTAAGCATTAAAACCCCCTCCATGCTCATGTTTCAGTATGTACGAGCGAGACAAAGGAATGCTTTGTAAATCTAAATGATAAACACCCCAAATCCTAACAAATACCAACTTTTACCTGTGATAAAGAAAATCTTAAATGATAGGAAGTCATTTAAATTTGGGGAAAGAGGCCTGATTTCTATTCCAGTGCCAGCGCTCCCAGAAAAGAAACCCCCTCCACCTTGTGAGGTTGAATCCCAGGTGGAAACATTTACTCTGAACTCTGCAGGAGTGGCAGGAAAGTAGAGAGATCTGGGAAGCCTCTGGGCAACCACACAGGCCCTGGACTCTACTATAAATCTGCCATGACACAACAACAACTCTGCAATGTTGCACGGAGCAGGGCAAATCCATCTAAGGCAGCTCACCTATGTCACAGCACTTCTGGTCGTTGGGGCAAATCAGCAGCTCTCTGGCGAAGACCGGGTTCCCAGGCGGATCAAAGAGCGCGTGGCCATTTCTTATATGTGGCAGCGGTCTGCAAGCAATTTACATCCTGATAATCTGACGCTTTGCTCCAAAAGTAGACAACAATCAAACCATCATTGTTTGCTTTTCAACTGTGCATCTTGGATCGATGAACAACCCAAAATTCAAACCAGAGATGTTCAGTTGAACAGAAATCTTTACATTTGAGGAACAAGCACTTTTTGCATATTTGCTTTAAAAATGACTCAAGCAAAGAATCTTTTGTAGAAGACTTCCAGAAAAGTTTCCTTTTTATCAACCGATGCATTAATTCAATAATAAATGCTGTTTTCTCTCTGGTTTTTAGGTGTGACGACTTGCTGTTTTGTTTTCTCTTGTGCCTGCTGATGACACAAAATGAGTCTTTTTATAAATAACTTTTTGAGTTACTTTCAGCTCTTTAGACTAAACTGAACTGCTAGTTGGACTAGTGCACACCAACACCTTATCACAACCAAAAGGTAAAAGCTGCTACCAGAAGGAAAAAACATTTTAAAATCTAAAATTGTACAGATTGTTTTGCCGAATCAGTCGTCAGCTTTGTTGAAGCTGGATAAAACATGCAACAGCAGTGGTTTGGTCCTCTAAACAACCACAACAAAGAACAGCAGGTAGGAAGCTACTCTCCCTCTTATATGTGTGATAATAACAATTTTTGTTCCTCTTATTTGTACAGGAAACCCAAATGAAAGAGAACAACCGTGGTGATGAAGTTTAGCTATCAAGGAGGAAGATCTACTGACAGATTTCTGCTCAAAGCATTCAATCATTTGCAGGATCATTTTCTGTAATGTCATTGGAGGCGTTCTTATTTCTGACTTTGAGACAGCCTGTTTAAGAATGAACTACCACAAGATCTTGAAATTACTGTTGTTGTAAAGCTCTGTGTAAAAGAAGGCTTTAAAAAAAGGACAGACTGTAATTAAAGGACTCACACACATCCAGAAAGCTACTCAGGCACCAACAGCAACAATGAAATGAAGGATGGTGCATGAAGGTGTGAGCTGGGATCCTGCAGTTGTGTTCATCAGAGTTGTCACCAAAGTTTAACATAAGCTTCATTTAAGAACTATTCTCACTGTTGTACCTGTTTTGTTCCCCTATATACACGCTGTCCAGGGCCATGACCTGCTGCCTGCCATTCGTTTCCTTATAAATCCTTTCGGCTGCTTCTTTTGTTTTGGTTACGACACAGTCCATGTCACCCCAGATGTGCCAGGAGATAACCCAGGCAGCAGTATCATCCTCCACAAAGGCCAGGTGGCCAACCTGCATTCAAAAGGTACAGGGTAAAACACATCTCCACAACACGCATCCTGAAGAACTAGTCAAACGGTGCCGTTACCTTTCCCAAAACGTCCAGCTGCAACATGGAGGTCTCATGGATGGAGCAGCTTCTTCTGGGCATCGTCAGAATTTGGTCAACTTCTGCACTCTTCTCATTTATGAGTCTGTCAATGTTTTGGATCTTCAAAGAAATACAAACACACAAACTTCATTTCCAGATACATTTTTATATGAGGTTTGAATTTCTACACGTATAGAAGTGTGGAAAGCATTAATAACTTACAGATACAGGTTGTGTTGTCATATTCCTGTTGTTCAGCTCATTTCTAAGGCTCTCCTCTTTATTACTTGTAGCCACGCGCTGAGCTGGTAAGAAAGAAATATTTTCAATTAGGGACATTTAAGTCACATCTTGGCAGAAACAAAAAAAAAATGGTGGTTATATTCTTCAGCGTCAGGTGTTCAAAATAGATTTTTGCTATCTGTATGGTTACTTAGTGATGGGCACTAATATGAATGTTAAAAAATTATATACACATACATGCATACACATGCATACATATATATACGTGTGTGTGTGTATATATACACACACACACACGTATATATATACATGCAGACAAATGACATTTTCACAAGCAACATCATCTTACTTTCAACAAATTAAATCTTACATGTCAGCAAATTAAGGAGTTGTTTAGAGGTAGTAAAGGCTGTTGTATATGTAGCAATAGCAGCACTGAGCTCATCTCTCTTCTTGGTCAGTTCAGAGATTCTTGTTTGGTTCTCTGCATCTACAATTGAAAAAAACAAACAACAAAAAAACAGGTAAGTTCACATAACACCAAAAGGTTGTACTACAAAGCAAGATCAATCTCAATGTCATGAAGGTTGCTCTCTTTTAAGCTGCTAGATCAGCGGTCCCCAACCTTTTTTGTTCCACGGACTGGTTTTACACAAGAAAAGTTTCTACTGACCGGTCATTGTGCACATAACAAAAAATAATAGTTTTTTTTCTAATAAAAAGTTTCATAAACAAATAAAATGACTTGCTAAATATGTGTTTACTTTTTCTTCTGTCTCAGCGTCGAGTCTTTCCCACTTTCTAAAGAAGCTCTCCAGAGACGTTTGTTTTGTTATTTATTTCAGCAGCGGTCAGACTGATGGCTTGAAAACTGACAAGAGTCAAGTGCGGGAAACAAGCGCAGATGAAAGTGATCCATTATCTATACACCGCTTAATCCTCACTAGGGTCATGGGGGGCTGGAGTCTATCCCCGCTGACTCAGGGTGAAGGCAGGGGACACCCTGGACAGGTCACCAGTCTATCACAGGGCTACACTTAGAGACAGACAACCAAGCACACTCACATTCACACCTACGGACAATTTAGCATCACCAGTTAACCTCAACATGTTTTTGGACTGTGTGGGAGGAAGCCGGAGAACCCAGAGAGAACCCACGCTGCACGGGGAGAACATGTAAACTCCACGCAGAAAGATCCCGGATGTCCTCACCGGGACGCTAACCGGCGACCTTCTTGCTGTGAGGCAACAGTGCTAACCACAGAGTCACCCTGCAGCCCGTGTTTAAATGTATGAAGTTTAAAATTTCAGCTCTAGTGTGCAAAGGTCATTAGAAATAAGTGACTGCACTGAAATGCACTCACTGGTTAATTCTTAGAGGCTTTCGACGTTTTTGCATTTGTCTTTGTATCTCACATAGAAACATGTTTATCGTGCCCATGTTTGCTATCTTTTTTTATCACCTATATGACCTGACTATTATTTTTTCACTTTATCCACTTTAACCTCTGTCCACATAAAACAATTTCAGAGACCCTGCGTTATTGATGCACTGGTTTTATTCCAGCAGCAGGGCTTTATTAGTGAATACATACCATTGTAAAAATGGAACTGGAGCTCAAAAGGTTCCAGTGGTGTGGGAACCTTCGGGACTTCAGGTTGGAAGAGGAGGGTGTACACGTTGCCATTCTCACCAGGACTATTCTGCATGATAGCCAGCCTCTGGGCAGAGGAAGGGTACAATTATTGTATGCTAGGCTCTTAAACACCAAAACAAAGCTCATTCTATGAAGCATGTTACTCACGTTGATGAAAGCCTTTCCGTCTACCAAGATAAGCCGAAAGCTGCTGATTTTTCCTTCAAACAAAGGAAGGCTGTTGCTTCTTTCTCCGTTGGGGCACTTTATAGAGACGACGACCCTCCCGTCCAGGTCCTGCCCTGCTGAGTTTCCATGTGAATCCTGGAATCAACCAAGTCAACTCAGTGTGGCTGCATATCACAAAATCTATCACTTTAAAATGAATACGTTTATTTAAAAATGAAGCAGTTCCCGCTCTTTTGCAACAACATTAAAGCCTTCAGAGGATTGTAGCTCACCATTATCCTCAGAGTCATATTCTCAACCAAGGTTCGGTTGGTGATGTCTGTACTGTTGGAAACAACTGGGGTTGGGGGCTGAGAGTCGGGTCCCAGCTTGACAGGCTGATTGGCCACCACATTTATAGCAATCTAGGAGACAGGAAACAATGCCGAGTCATTTCTCTCTGTGAGTTACATTTGTGACCTGCAGCCCTGCAACAGCTCAAACAACTACTACTTTCCTGTTAACCCTCTGAAACCCAAAACCCCTCTGTGGGTTTCTGCGCCATGCTCATCACTTTATTCTACGTATTTCATTTCACAATTCACCAAAAATACACTGCTAGCTGGACCAGATTCTGTAAAAAAAAAAAATAAAAAATAACTTCTACACTCCCTGGTGCAACTGTGAAGCGATCAGTGACTCATCTGCAACTTTTTGGCTGAACTGCAGGCTGTGTTTACACAAAGCAGATCGAAAATAAGTATGGAAACAATTTATGGCATTATGCCTGTGCTGTATTGCACAAACAACATTTTCGAGTTTTCTCTCCTTCTATCCCTGGTTGTGAGTAAAAATGTGATTGGGGGAAAAATTGGCCAAGGAGCTGTTGAGGTTCAGGTGATGAAGTGGAAAACTATACAGTTCAAGAGTGCTGAAGCCAACATGATGGTGCTGATAAAGGGACACACTTGAAAACTGCTTGGGGTTCAGATAGTTAAACAGATATGAAGGAAAACAGTACAGAAACCATTTCTATATACTTTACTGCTGTTGGAAAGTAACACGATTGGAACCAACTTGCTAATGTGTTGCGATTCTTTGACTACATGTTTAATATTTTCAAACCAACCTGATCACTCAGCAGGTCGTTGTTTTTGTCAACACGCAGAGCAAACTGTATGACGTGCTGTCCAGCATGTTGTGGAATCTGTTTATCTCTGCAGAGAAACACAAAAGAAATAGTTCTACACCTTGTAAAATATGTTCACTTGTTGACTGACCAAGAGTTAAATGAGATGATTGATACTGTTAAAATCTGAGGCTACTGCAAGCAGGTCATTTGCTTAGCATAATAAAGCATAAAGAACGTTAACAGAGGGAAAAAGGTAGCCTGGCTCTGGACAAAAGTAACATTTGCATGCAGCAACAGCACTTGTAAAGCTCACTAGTTAACACATATCATGTGTTTAATGAGAATTAAAACCCATCTGCAACAATGGCACAGTAACTTCACATCATCTATGCTGTTTGCCTGTATCTGGATAAAGTCAGGCCTTTCCCCCTGTTTCAAGTGTTAATGCTAAGCTAAGCTAACTTCACATTTACCGTACAGTCACACAAGTGGTATCAGTGGTCTCGGGTAACTCTCAGTAAGATCTTTTAAACATCCTGCAACAAACTAAACAGAGCAGAAACACACCTGATGTTAAAGCATCTTTACCTGAAACGAAAACGGTCATTCTTCTCATGTGCCATGGGTTTGCTACACTTCAGCTCAGTGTCCTGTACAAGAGATGGAGAAGAATGGCATTCAGCATTGAGAAGCTAATAAAAAATAAAGGACAGTCTCCCTGTGTGTTCGCCCAGTCTCCTACTCTTTGTGGTGCCGTTCGTCCTGATGGCATTCCCTTCCAGACAAACATGGACACAGCTGCTGGGTTAAAAGTTGTAATCGGACTTCCTTCTTCCGACACCACGGTTACTGAGAAAACTGCCCAGACACACACACAGATGCCTTTAGTTTGGTAGACAGAGAAAGAGACTCAAGTGATTGAACAAAGAGACACAAATGCAAACCTGGGAAAATGCCTCCAGCAAGAAACCTGGCGCTGGAGTCGTACTCAACTGACAGTTTGACAGGTTTGTTGCAATCAGGGATGATAGTGAGGTTCACTGCTGGACCAGGGATGGATTTCTCAGTGAAGGAACCTGTAAATTTCAGCTGATAGTTCCCCCTAGTGGACAAACACAGTATTGACACTCACACTGATGACTGGTGGAAGAGCAGCTCTGTCCCAAATTAAGACAATATGACAGGATTTTAAATCTGATGACTAATGATGCAGACTGCTGCTGCCTCATTACTACAATAAAGAAATCTACTTTTTAATGATCCATTATAAAGAAGCACTTACTTTGGACCGCTCACACTATTAACAGTGAAAGAGGCTTTCCCTTCTGTGTTTACAGGTTGTGAAGTAACAGGTGTCGTCACCTAAAACAACATGAACATGTCATTATATCTCTTCAGCTAGATCATACTGTACATTTCAGAAGTTACTGGCTATTATCAGAAAGTCTAATTGTACAGTGATTGGTTTGTTTGCATCACTTGTCAAGCTAACCTTCAGTGTTGAGTGAGAAGGTCTTAAATGTACCACAACCCTCTGGTCTGGACAAGGGTTTTCCCACTCATCGCACAGCTGGACGAGGAATGGTGTGAGAATACTGTGACCACTGAATACCTGCAAAGGCTTTGAAACACAGAAACACGTGAGCTTCTACAGTCAGTTTGGCTGCGTGAACATAAAACAACAGTGTACAACACAACTGTGAGAGAAGAAGAGCTTTTGTTTTTTTTTTTTTACCTGCTCAGGTTCACCGATGAGCTTAAGCTTAGCAGGAACTCCAGCAGTCACTTCAACGTTGATACGCTCCACATAGCTGGAGTATTTGAAGCACAAGTCTCTGAAGCCAAGACGCCCTGAATGGAAACGCACTCCCGTCACCACAACCGAGCTGCTGCTCTCCTGATTGAAACACAGAGTTCACATTCACACAGTGATGGAACAAAGTTTCTGATCCTTCATCTCAGTAAAAGTATCAGCACCACTGTAACAGTCCTTGTCAGTATTACATTAAAACAGATTTGGATTATTTATTAGATATTCTGTGTAAATTCGTCTTCCTAAAAATAGACAATTGGACAAAGGCACAGAAAGTCACAAAAACACACAGTTTCCATTCATTAATTGACATTATAGTCTAAGGGAAATCTTTGAAATGATTACATTTTTGTATAATTATTCTGAAGTCATTAACATCAGGTTGAGGTGATTTATCAATTCTGCAATGTTTGGTAGTTTAATTCACTGGGTAACACTTTATAATAACTATCCGTTATAACTAGTTAATAGATCATTTGTAAACTGTTAATTAGTGAGTTATTAACCACTTGTTAAGTGTTTGTTAATAGTTTGATGATTTATAACAATGCCTTGTAGATAGTTAATAAACCATTTACAAACTGTTAGTTAATGAGTTATAAATGACTTGTTAACTGTATATTAATGATTTACAGCCACACCTTATATGAGGAATAGTTGCAACTTTAGAATAACGTCCCAATAACATATATAAACTATTAACTGATACTTAACAAGTCATTAGTAAGTAATTCACTCATGGCTTGTTCATGATCTATGACTGGTTTATAAGGTATGGCTGTAAATCATTAATATACAGTTAACAAGTCATTTATAACTCATTAACTAACAGTTTGTAAATGTTTATTAACTATCTATAAGGCATCGTTATAAATCATCAACAAACTATTAACAAACACTTAACAAGTGGTTAATAACTCACTAATTAACAGTTTACAAATGATCTATTAACTAGTTATAACGGATAGTTATTATAAAGTGTTACCATTCACTGTATAACAAAAGCAGTGTACTTTATGTACCTTCAACGAACAGCCGATTAATTGGTCAAACAAAATATTTGAAAAACTGATGGTTCTACATGCCAAAAAGTGAGAATTAGCTGCTTTACATTCTCTTATATTACTGTAATTTCAATATTTTGGGGCAACTAAATAATCATGAAAATACTCATTAGTCACAGATCTAATATTTAGGAATATATTATAGTACTACTTATATTTTTTATGTTTCCAAACTTGCCTCCTATCTGGTCAGTCAAATAGTCCCAGAATTGCAGAGAATTTTTTAGTTTTTTACAGAATCTGGTTCATGGAAATGGTTCATTTTTGAACATGTTGAATAAAGTAGAACAAATTCAACGATTCTCAGTTTTCATAGTTTCTGTCACTGTTAGTCATTTTGGACATTTTTAAAAAAGATATCATACCGAATGGTGAGTTTGGCGTTCAGAGGGTTTAATCTAGTTTCTATAATCTTTAGTCATTCTTTAGTCATAACCAGTGCATTGAACAACACTCCCCTTTGAAATGCTGTGAAGTAACAAAGCAGCACAAAATGTAAATACTCCAGTAAAGTAGGACTTACAAGTTGTACAGTACTCTACTTGGTTACTTGAGCAGCAGCCAAATGTTCATGAACTTTGTGGAGCAGCTTGTGTGGCATTACCACCATCATTTACAATGTGTCCTAACAATAAGGGGCAGACAACGCCTTCTAGTGATACCCAACTGCCCGCACCTACACTGCCTCTGAATTTATGAGGGCCCATTATTTCCAGGTAATAAATCAGACCATTACAGTGACTTATGACCAAACAGGCCTCTTTCTTTATCAGGAATGTTTCTGATGCCGCCCAAGCAGAGACTTTTGACTCCTTCCTTATCTAATTCATTTATTACCTTGTCTGTTTAACTTTCTCATGCATGCAACCAGAGCTAGTCTTTTATGATGTGGCGGTGGGGGAGATGCTATAGCTTTAAAGAGGTCAGTGTGCAGAAAAAAGGGCAACTCCAGTAAGCCTCATGCCCAACACTGGACTACAGATAAATACGTGGCCCATCTGGACCCACAACTGATCAAAGAACATTTCATACAAAGTATAACTGCAAATTAATGTGGCCTTCTTTGTTTAGGAGAAAGCTCAGGTCAAATGACGGTCGCATGAATGAACTTGAATTCTGCACAGTTTTAAAAAAAAGTCAACTTTCCAGTTGTCTCTGTTCCTACCTGCCACTTAAAGGCAACGGAAGATGTGTCCAGACCCTCAGCTTCCACATTCATGTCCCTCACAGAGGTGGGGATAAGTGTCCAGGTGACATTGTCATACTGGTCCACAAGCTCCAAGTCTGCACGAGGAGAACATTTCGTCTCGACTAACATGCAATAAACGAAATAAATGTTGCATAAATGAAAAGTTGAGAGCTTTGATACTCACTAATGTTTCCAGGTAGGATTTCACCAAGCCTCACTGTGTTTTGTTTGAAAGTTGCTTTCAGCCGTGCTGGTTCGTCTGGACGAGGACTACAAACAAGACAAGGATGTAGACTTTGAGAGATACATGCCTGTATTTTAAATCAAAAGCTTGACATTTTGAAAATACACTTATTCATTGTCCTGTGGAGATTTAGATGAGAAAGACACTACAAAAGCAATACTAGTCTCATATCTGTTGTTTAAATATGAAATTACAGCCAGGAGGTTAGTTAGCCGAGCATTCAGATAGGAAACAGCTATAATGAATCTGTCTGAGCTACAATGTGTTGTTGTTAGATTTCGCTTTCTGCACAGCATAAACATAGGAAATAATTCATGCTAAACTGTGAGCTTTAACCCTTTAAACCCCATTACCCACCAGCAGGTTTGAAAGATGTTACTTTTGAAAAATTTCCAAAACTACATGATGTATCAGAGCCAGAAACGTCAAAAACAGAAAGATTTTAAACTCTCTGATGAGTCTACCCATGTGTGACTTTGGATTTTGCCAGGACAATTAACCAAATCTAAGATTAAAAGCAATTCAATCAAAATCCCTTTTAATGTACCCATCTCATTTAGTCGTTTGTTTTATGTTCTCTGTGCATGCATCTCTGGATCTGGAGCTACACCTCTCTGATCTGCAGTCACTGGCCTCACCAGTCTCCAAAATGTTCATTGATCTCTTACGCATTGTTTGTCTGTTCTCCATCTGCTATCCCTCTATCGTCACCCCCACCGGTTGAAGCAGATGGTCGCCTTCCCTGAGCCTGGTTTTATCTGAGGGTTTTTTTTCCCCTTTGCCGGTAAAGGGGAGGTTTTTGGTTCCTTCCGACTGTCGCCAAGTGCTTGCTCTAAGGGAATCCTGGATTGTTGGGTTCTCAGTTTGTACCTTCTAAGGTCTTCACCTTAGTATGTGAAGTGCTATGAGATAACTTATGTTGTGAATTGGCGCTATATAGTTTAAATTGAATGGACTTTGAATATTTGCCAGAAGTTTACCATTTGCACTAACCAGATTCTGTAAAAACTAAAAATGCTGAACAAGCATTAAGCCATTAGTGACTCAACTGTGACTAACAGTTACATGACAAAAATTCAGGGGCATTCTGGCTTATTATTATTTGGGGAATAATTAACCTTGGACAGAGTCAGGCAGGGTGTCTTAATTTTAGGTCATTATACTGAGCTAAGCTAGGCAGCTGCAGTACCACGGTAGCTTCATATTTAGCATACAGACAGGAGAGTTGTATCGACTGCAAACACAGCCGACACATTCAGCTGCCGTCAAATTAATGGAATGAAGTACATGTTTGAAAGGGCTTCAGAGTTAAGGATGTGGCTTACGTTATGACGAAGGAGACAGAGACACTCTGGTCGTGGTAGGACACCTGGAAAAAGCGTTCGTCCTGCACCTTTGTAGGCACCTGTATATCAGGCAGCTTCCCCTGGATGAGACCTTTCAGATCTACATCTGCTGTCCAGTTGACCTGACAGTCAACAGTCACAGTCAGTGAGCAGCATAAAGCTGGAAAGTGCTCAGACACAATGACACATAATGTTGAATTTATTGCTACGTGTGGTTTGTTTCATTCATCACCACTTAACCCATGCACTGCAATGTTTCCAGAAGAAAACTGTTTGCAAAAACCAGCATATTAGAATATGATACAGTGAACACAACAAGAAGGTAAAATATTGCCAGACCCACCTTGATCATGGAGGCTATTTCAGCACTGACTGCTACCTCATTGCCAGCCTCATCATACAGTCTATAGAACAGGTTCTCCAGCGATCCTCCAGCTAGCCAATCTATCTTTTCATTGTTCGTCACTACCAGATTCTCAGCATCCGCACGGTAGATCTCCATCTTGGCAACTCGTGCGCTGGGATTCACCTTCAGCTGCCTTGTGACCGAGGCTATGTGCTTTTGACTCTAGCAGATAAATGAGAAAGAATGAAGACACTACAAACAAACTTTTAAGAGCATATTCTATCAAACAGAGATGATTTTTATTTTTTTTTTATTTTATTTTTAATTTTAACTTACAGGCATCTCAAAGTGAACTTTGAGCATTTGTGGCTGTCCATCCATTATTTTCAGGTTTATGTGCTCTGTCATAATCTGGCCACCTCCCGTGTTACTGCAGTCAGTTGTCACAAATGGAAATCCCTGAACCTAATAATGGACCAAGAAATGGATGAGGAGGAATCAACCAAGAAGGACTGAAGAATTAATCAAACTCACACTTTGAAACAATACAATTAGCAAAGGCTGCATTTTAGGACACATGAGATGTGGATATTAAACAATGAGACCAATGCTGTACTTGAATGATATTAAATTAGAGCAAATTGGAACTTTCAGGAGTTTTTTATGCTTAAGAACTGATTAATATATTGAAATTGCTGAACCTCAAACATTTAGCAGCATATCTGACCCGGGGTTTAAACCGTCAATGTTTTTATCACAATGTAGATCAGAAAAATCCTTATTTGTTTAAAAAAAAAAAAAAATTTCACAATTGGTTTCACCGTACAAGCGAGGATAATAATGTATAATGCACATTATATCATAAAATAAAAGTTTAAAAAAGTAGATTTAACACAGTAATAATGTAAAAAAACATATTCTATCCCATAGAGGAAGAAAAAGACAATGAACTGTTCTGTGCTTGGTGCAGGTGAGGACTGCATGCTTAACACAAACACTGATACTGACATCATTTGCCCGGATGAAGGGAAGAACACTGAGACTGTGAACTCTGCCTTTGTGCTGAGACAAGCAAATTAAATTTCCTTTTTCTGTTCGATTGCTCGTTGTAAGATTGATGACCGTCACATTGAAGGGTGGAAATCAAGAAAGTGAGATGATGGTTTGAGGTGATGAACCTAACTGTTTCCTGGGTGTGTTCTTTTCTTTTTAGAGTGAAGTTTACAAACATGATTTAATTTGACGGTGATTAAGGTGAATGTGATAATGACTGTGAAATCAGTGAGGGATGATTATGAGTGATTTTGAGTGTAACTGATTGTAATTAATGATGTGATTGGATGTATACGGGAAAGTTGACAAACGGTGTTGGTTATCACTGCTCCTCAGTTCATATTAAGGTTGTTCCTCTACTCTGGAGTTGATGTTTTGCATCAGTATGTCACGTTTTTAAGTGATTGCCTTGTAGTCAATCTGAATCAAAGTTTAAAACTATGTATTGGTTTATTTCTTTTGATAATTACTTTCTTTAATCGCTATATAATTTATTTTCTTGTTATGGTTTTTCTGATTTGTTTTTAATTATTATATTATGATTTGAAGTTCTGTTGATTGTTAAATGCCTCGAAGTGTTAGGGACAGATGTGGTGAAGACGTCGGGTGGAAGTGACCTCTGCATCCTAGTTATGTTCAACATCTGGCGACGACAGGCTGTTAAACTGTTATGCAGATTTCTAGGATTGTCGCCCCGTAATTTGGTCTTTAACATCTGTCTCCAAAGTTATAGGGGGGGGAAAGTTTTTCCCACTGGGTTTTCATTCCTACCTCCTTTGTGGCTGACAGTCCGTTGATTATTATTCAATGACTTAATTGTTTTTTAAATGATTTTATACTTGTATTTCCTGTTGCTGAAATCAATGCTCTGGATCTCTCGATATAGTTCCCTTTGAGCTAAGGTAATATTTCCTTTGAAATTATTGTTTGTGTGGATCTTACGATCAAAAAGGAGGGATTTGTGAAGGAAAAATGGCCCTTTTCCCGAACAAGGTATCTAGTTTCAGCTGTTAGCTGCTAACAAATTATCCTGTCGGTTAAAGCAGGTCACTATTGTTGGTCTCTGCTCCCTTTTAACTTATTCACGCCTAAGTCCTGTTTCCATGTTAAGGCCTTATCTTGCCTTGTTGTGGCTTTCCGTGAGACGGAAGCTACCGTAGCAGGAGGAAGATATGCTAGAACAGGGGTGTCCAATACTGGTCCTCGAGGGCCACAGTCCTGCATGTTTGAGATGTTTACCTCTTCCAACACACTTGATTCAAGTGATCAGCTCATCATCAAGCTCTGCAGAAACCTGATAACGATCCTTATCATTTGAATCAGGTGTGTTTAAAGAGAGAAACATCTAAAACATGCAGGACTGTGGCCCTCGAGGACCAGGATTGGACATCCCTGTGCTAGAACTCTCTGCTCTAGTTAAAGTTAAACTGTCTGTTTCTAACAATACTGAGCAGATCTAGCGGTCTCCATCTTTGTAGTCCAAATCAGATCCCTCACTCAGAGGGCAATATAAGCCTAACAGTAAGACAGGATCCTCAGAATTGATGCTGCCACTTTTGCATGAACTGCTGCTCCGTTGGTGTCACTTCTCCTGATATCAGTAAACCTTATTACAACATGAGCCCTCTGAGTTAGCGTGTCTCTCTGTGTTGGCATCCTCATCCTCCAACAACCTCTGTGATTCCCACAACACACATTTCTTACAGGATGTATAAAAACGGGCATTTCATGGGTCAAAAACGGCTCTGTCTGGTGTTTTAAATTTCACACAACACAACAGCCCCTGTACCTGGCAGCGAACTATTTGTTTGGGCTGAGCAGTGATGTTTCCAGCCTCATCATGAATTTCGACATTAAAGGCGACCGGGTTTCCATTTTCTACTTTGACTGGGTTTTCTTCTGGCATCACATGGAGGGAATGTGGATTACCTGAAAAACACACATAATTCTCATCAGGATATTGATTTACCCACTGACAGACAGGATGCTAGAGAGGCTCTGCTGACCAAAAGGTGTTTTGATCCTTATCTTAATGTTAGAACTCAACAGATAAGCCCTTCAACCACAGCTGTATAACATCTGCTGCCTTTAGACTATAATTTCAAGTCTTCAGGGACCAGTTTTTCTGTCCTTCTTTTCACGTACGAGACTGTTTGTTTTCTTAACTGGTCAGCGTGGAATAGGCTTTGTTTGTTCTGACTAAAATGGCACCAAAAAACAAAAATGTATGGCCCACTTGATGTAAAACAAGTCTAATGGTTTGTTTTTAGAGAATTAATCTTTCAATCCATGAAATGTAGAAATGTTTATCACAAATTCCCAAAGTGTCAATTAGCATAGTATGATGTCCCAGACCAGCAGTCCAAAACTCTAAACTCTCTACCAATCAAGATTTCTTATGAACATAATGTGCTTCTGCTTCTGCTTCAAGCTTAGTAACCGTCTTGACTTCAGAAATAAATGCAGTTTTACCAGGAAGAAGACTGATCTTGATGGTCTGTGTGTCTTTTTTCAGGCCACAGAAGGTCACTTTCAGGTCATAACTCTGCAAAAATAAAAAAAAATAAAAACACAAGAAAATGAATACATCACAGGCCAGAAAAACACAACAAAATCAGCTGACTAGTTTTTGTCTTCTGAGTTTCAGGTAATTGTTCTTTTTGTCAAACTTCTTGTAGATTCTGTTACGCACCTATTAATACATAAATTACCCTTTCCATCAACTTTTCCACATAGTAGGAAGAGCGTAGAGATTATTTGTGCAAACCTTATTTTGCTGGTGTTTTAAGATTTTTCCTTTCGCTTTGACATTTCTGATGCAGAACGTGGTCCCACGGCTGTCCATTGTCTCGTACCTCACATCCAGGTCGCTAAAAAATAATAATGGTGACAATTTTACAGCAACTGCAACATCAGAGAGATTACAGACATGGTGGATTATCATAAACCTTTTCATGTGGTAGCTGGTCAAAGATGCACACATACTGCTTTTTGAAAGACTATGAAAGTTTGTCTTCCAAAGTAAACACCATAAAATTGAGGATTTACAAGTAAAGTGACCTACCTGCACTCCAGTACAGGCTGGAGTTCGGGAGGAGGCGCTGTTACGTGGCCATATAAATCTTTAAACTGCACAGGAATGTTGAATGGTACCCCTACACGAACAGTGGGGCTCACCGTACCAAGCACGAAGCTCTGTGCATTACCCTCTGAGAGGAAATAAAGAAGCAGAAGTGTCTGGTTGTGGAATTCAGAAAGAATAATGAGTATGTCAGCAACATGCTCTGAGCTCTGGGTCTCCTTACCTTTGATGGTAAACTTGAGAGTGTAGTTGGGAAGCGGTTTGCCTCCAAAGACGGTGCTACTATTGTCTTTAATCATAGTGTTCAGGGATAGTGTGAACTTCCCCAGCTGGGTCAGATTGTCTGCCGTGGATGACAAGTTTGCCCATATGTAACTTATCAGGGGACAAAAAAATCAGTGCATACAAAAAGAAGCCAAATAACAAACTGATGAAAAAAGAGAAATGTACCATTTCTTTTGAACTCGAAACCCCACTTTGCTGAATGTAGGGCAACTAAATTGGAAATGAGTTGGTCTCCTTTAGAACCTACATTTGAAAAGCAAAAAGAATTTACTGCAGCATTCAGAAGGAAGAAACTCTATAGCAAGAAGCAAACACAAATGAGAAACAAGAGCTAGAGTCCAAGGAATATTAAGTGTCACTTAACACTTCTTTTAATCATTAATGTCCAATTTTCTTTTGTTTCAGCTTTTCCAAGGTGACGATTTGTTGCTTTTTTGTTGTCTATACACCACAGTAGTAATTGTGCTCTTGGAAATTCAGCTATAAAGCAGAAGTTAGACATTTTAACCTATTTACAGACCAAAGGATGGGTTAATGAATTAATTATAGTCAACAGATTAATTTAGGGAACAATGTAATTTTGTAATAATAGGCCTGCAAAAAAAAAGGTAAAAGTTATAAATGGAATCATACTACGACACAGCCATGGAGGTGACTGATCATCATGGAATTTTGTGCATGACTTTTGTTTTCTTCGTCATTACAGGGTAGTTTTCACCATAAAAATAAATATGGGAGATTTGTCTTGTTGGTAAACATGAATCATTTGCTGTCAATTTGTTGTCTTACTAACTTCAATTGTACACAGTGAAATACTTTAACACACCATCGCACTTTTACTAATAAAATCATCCGATTTAACTTTCAGCAGACGTGAACAGAACTGTAGTTCTTTTGTGTTTTCTTACCATGCAGGACTATTTTTAGTTGCATACTCAGCACTTGTCCTTTCCCCTGGCCCGCTGTCGGTATTGAGGATATTTGCTCGCCTTTCCTGTTTAGAATTATAACGTTGATTGGCCCTGAAATAATAAGACACACAAAACACACAAAATGAGCTGTGAGTTCTTGTGTTTTGTTTTTTTTTTTACAAAATATTTTAATATTCTTTTATTTTACCTAAAGGAGTCCCAGCAGGACAAACAGCATTCGCTGGCCAAGGGTTACCTTTGGGCCACACCACTTTCAGTGACTCTGGAAGCCTGCAACAAACAAATGTCATTTACTGGAGCTGAAAAAGTCAGTCTTGAACCCCGACTAATAGTCAGGACAAGGATGTAAAGTGCAGAGAAATAAGGTAATCCAGAATCCTGACAACACATTTATAGCCATTTAATCACATGCAAAAAACAGAATATTAGCGATGGCTGCTCTGTCTAAACACACTGCTTTGTTACAAATGCAGCACGGAAGCAGTTTCTCCCAGCTGCTTACTCACTTGGCAAGGTCACTGTCGATGTTTCTCCTGATGACTTCATCAGTGGCAGCTTTGTCAATCTTGGAAATGGGAATGATCTTGATCGTGTCATAAAGAGCTTTGGGCTCCTAGGAAACAAATTTGCCTGTAAGTCTCTCTAAATACAAGTAAACCCAACAAAGGGACCAAAAAAGAAAAGAGGTGTCCATATATTAAAAAAAACAAAAAAAAAAACACTGACAATGCTCCAATAGTGGAGCAAAAAAAACTGTATTTAATTGTATCCCTACAATCTAAAGTCTCACTGCTTTGATATTTAAGACATAAGGGTATAAATAATTCTGGACATGACATTTTTAGTGAAAATGTAAATTAAAAAACATAAAAGTATAAATGTCGCACCATCTTTTGTCACTTATTAATGTCAATTTCCAGACAAAAGAAATCATTGGTCAAATAATAATTCACTATGAATCATAATTTGGGATGGATACGAAACATCAGTGCCTTAAAAGTATTTGACAGGGTATCTCAAAATTTTACAACATTGTGAAAAAGTTATATTTTCTCAATGAAAATTACAAATGTAAATGTATATATTCCACATTCATAACACGGAAAGTGAAAAATCTCAGGCCTTTTTTTAGTTTTAATTTTGTATAGCTCATGAAAATCAGAAATCCAGTATTTCCGAAGACCAATTAAAAAACACAGGATTTTCAATACAGAAATGTCAAACCTCTGAAAAATATGTGCATTTATACACTCAATACTTGGGTGAGGTTCTTTTACCAGGAATTACTGCATCAGTGCAATATGGCATAGAGGCAATCAGCTTGTGGCACTGCTGAGGTGATGTTTAGGTGCCAGGCTGCTTTGATAGCAGCCTTCTTCCTCTTGACCATACTCCGATAGATGCTCTATGGGGTTCAGGTCAGGTGAGTCGGCCGGCCAATCAAGCACGGTAATATCATAGTCTGCAGTCAACCTTTGGTCGTACTTCTAGCTCTGTGGGCAGGTGCCAAGCCCTGCTGGAAAAGGCGTCTCCATAAAGCTTTTGGGCAGACTGAAGCATGAAGTGCTCTTAATTCTCCTGATAGACGGCTGCATTGACTTTGGACTCAATAAAACACAACAGCCCACAACGCCAGCAGATGACATGAAACTTCACTCATCACAGACTAAAGAAACTTTACACTGGACTGTAAACACCTTGGATTCTGTCCCGCTCCACTTAATTTCCAAATAAAATGCAAAATTCACTTTTATCTGAAAAGAGGACTTTGGACCACTAAACAATAGTCTTTTTTTTTTCATCTCAGGCCAGGATTTCTGATTTTCATGAGCTATAAGCCATTATCATCAAAAGAAAACAAGTAAAGGCTTGAAATATATCACTTTACGTGTTCTGAGTCTAGAATATTTAGTAGATTTACAAGTAATTTGTCATATATGAACCATTCAGGACAGATGTTTTAATTTTAAGTCTTTTCTTTGGGACTCGCAGAAGAACATTTGTCATGAACTGCTCAAATGACCGCCTGGTTCAGCGCAATTGACCGTGAAAAGGGAAGTTTCCACTCAAAAATTGCCACCACATAACGATGCATTTTCACTTGTCACAGCAGAATATTGGATGTAAATGAACAATTAATTTTGAGTCAACTCCATCACACATTATGGACAAAAATTAAAGAGTATTTGTTTTCTTGTTTTTTTTTGCAAAGATTGAGAAAACAGTTTCTCCAATCCAAGCTCCATCATTTCTTCCTTACCCGAATCACTTCCACCTGTCCTCCTGTGGCAAAGACGTCTCCATCATAATTTCCGTACAGCAAAAATCGATCAATAGTACCGTAGAGAACAGGGTTCGTTCTTAGAGACTTCACCTGTGTGAGGATGTGCAGAGCACTGATCAATGTTGAATACAGAATGACACTAATGTACATTCAGAAAACTCCTAAATTAACAAATGCTTACATGTTGACCTGTTTTGTATGTTTTGCCTTCCCACTCGATGGAGGAGAACGTTGCCCAGGGCTGCTGCATTTTCTTAGAAGGCACATCATGCCGTGTTATGGTCCCCTTGAAGCCAAGAAACTTCACTTGCTTGTCAAACTTCTCATGGCAGTTTTGCAGCCACTGATTGAACTCATTCTGAATAGTAGCTCTTTTTGAGGATTTCTGTTGAAATGGAAAGAAAAAAGCAACACTTTTGGTTCAGTGTTCACTCTTTAATTCACAGAATCAAAGAGATTCTTGACATCTAGGAGGAAGAAATTCTCCACAACACGTCTCCAAGTGACATACAGGCAAGTGGCTGTCTTACTATACAACAAACATAAAGAGCATCATGAGTGAAACTAGCACTTACTGCAGCTTTAATGAATCCCTGCTCTGTCAATAGGTGTTGCTGAGCTAGTAAGGACCTTGTCTGGGGAGAGTTGCATTGGGAGATCAGTTCTCTTTGACTGCTTTCTTTCCCTCTCTGTTACACCCTCCCTCACTTGGGAAATTTATCATAAGAAAAAACATTAATGACAGGCTTAATTATGGACTCTAAAGTCTATCACAAACAGTTACTGAATACATTTGATCCTCAGGTTTTTATCTATAGACAGGCACCTTGAAGGGGGAGGACGGTAACTGCTGCAGAACTGTTCTTTTTCTGAGGAAACTTGCAACAATAGTAATATAACAATAATCATGTGACGTTTAATGCAATATCAGCCTCAAATTCAAATGTACAACTTGCTCTAATCATCAAAGAGTCTGAGAGAAATGTAGATGGTCACCTGTCCATTCACAACAATGGTGTAGATCGTGTTCTTGTCCCTCAGTTTCAGCTCCAAGTCAGTAAAGGTGAGTTTGTTTGTGGTGACCTGGAACCTGTCGTCAGTGAAAAGCACCCCAGACAACCGACTGTAACACTCCACAGGCACTTTTGCTCCTCTGGGAGAACACCAATCAAACCTGAACAAACAGACAACGAGACATGTGAACAATAAATTAAGGTAAAGGAACAGGAACAGTTCAGTGCTAATGTCAAACATGCTTACATGCTGATGTTTAGAAGAAATAATCTTTATTACGTTCACCGACTTACTGTAGTTTAGCAGTAAGTTAGCATTTTCTAATTATCAAAATGCACAGTTCATAGGATGGTGAGAAGTTCATTAGTTAAGTGCTGGAAAAAAAATACAGGACACTTGATAAAAAATTTACTGGAACACTCCAAACCCCAAAACCCACTGGTGAGTTTAAAAAGAATGTTTTCTTAACAAGAAAAGAAACAAAAATGGCCCAATTACCCCATTTATCAGAGCGAAAAAGAGTATAACATATAATATACATAATATTGTATAACCCTAACTCATCAGGAACAGTGGACAAATACTAGCCTAAAATGATCATTAATATCGATACTACTCCTGTACTCCATAACTTCTATGATGCTCAATCAAGCAGGCGCTTAGCTTAGCTTAGCACAAAGACCTTTACAGCTAAAGCTGCCTGTTATGATAGAATGGAGACTCCATGAAGTGACTGACTACAAATTAAAACACACAATTGTAAATTTTCCATTTACATTTTTGTTTGAATGAAACAAACGAGTTGTGTTAAGCCATGTGATTGTATGGATAGCAATACTGATCAGAAATCCTTTAAAAAAAACAAAAAAAACACCTTGATTTTATATATACAGCATTATTCCTGGTGGCCCTAGGTGTTACCAACATTACTTACATTTTTAATTTGTTTCTATACTTGTCTCCTTTCTGCTCTGTGTAAACACAGCCAGCAATTTAGCCCAGTTCAGCTAAAAAGTCTTACAATATTTGTCACAAATCTGTTGGTCACAGCTTAAATAAAACATGTACAATACAGGACTTCGATGAAATATCACAATTCTAAGCTTAGATTCGGTCAGGTTTTCTGACAGAAAGGCACGTCACAGAGGAGTAGTTCAAGGACTGTTACGAAGTTGAAAATCTGACCACCCTCTGGAACAGTCTCCCTGAGGAGATCAGATCTGCAAGCACTTTGTCCTCCTTTAAAACTCTTTTAAAAACACATTTTTACAGATGTGCTTTCACAGGAGTTGTTTTATGAGTGTACTTTTACTCTGTTTGATGGCAGTATTAAGGGCAGTACATTTTATCTTCTAACTGTTTTATTCCTTTATTGTCTTTTAATTGTCTTCTTTTACTGGGTTTAATTTTTCTTATATATTTTATATTGTTTTATTGTCTTTCATGCTTTATGTGCTTCACCTTCACCATTTTTTATTTATTTATTTTTTGCTTTTCACTTTCTTTAATGTTGTTTAATGTTGTTTTCCTTACACTTCTCTTTGAATCTGTACAGCACTTTGTAACCCTGTTTTGAAAAGTGCTATATAAATAAAGTTTGTTATTATTATTATTTTTTTTTTTTTTTCTGATTCTCAGTTACTGACTCCGATAACTGGTGTAATTGTGGCGTTCTTTATAGATAACATGTCAAACCACAGGGGAGTTTGTAGGTTCAGAGGGTTAAAGTGGAAAATTGCATTCTAGTCAATATAATTTATGTAATAAATGAACAGTATTTACTCAGACACTTTGGTGTACGGTATGAGTCGTCCATTCCAGAAACATTCAAAGATCGGCTTCTCCTTTCTTGCTCGATCACTGAATCCGGCCTCATTATCGTCATCGTCATTATCAGGAGCTTCTGATAAACAAAACACCCAAACATGATCGTCAATTAAATCTCAAGCTGAGATACGTAATACATTTCATCCATTACATTAAAGTTTGAATACCTTGCGCAACAGTTGGATCTTTAGGGTAGGTCTCCTTGTCGTAGAGGAAGGGATGATACCGAACGATTCCCTCAACTGTGCCACGTTCTGGTATCGTGGTGGCTCGAAATTCAAATGTGTCCGCTGCTGCGTTAATGAACAGCGTCTGCATGTCGTCTTCAACTTCCCTGAGGTGAATGGCACGGGGACATTTTGGAGGCTTCTCCCGCAAAGTGACCTGAATAAGAGGCAAGAGTCCAACGGTAATATGTACTGTATTAACTGTGAACAGGAAGCGGAGAAGTAGAACCACTGTGATCACCAGTTTAACTGTTAAAGACGAGCAGCCCCACCTGAATGTCAATGTTAGTGGGATGATCTGAGTTTGATGAGCTGCTGCTCATGACATGTCCATTGACTCCATGAATGTAATAGTGATATATGTGCCTGAAATATAATATGGACACAACACATCTGAAGGTGAGACAGAACTGTAAAGACTTTAAACTAGACGTGGAGAGACGTGGATGAGTGAACTCACGCTAGCTGTCTGGTCACTATGTCCAAACGGTCTGTCAGGAGGGTGATGTGCTCAGGCTGGACTCCTGTAATGACGACGGCTGTAAAGCTTGCCTTGCCACGTTCCTCAGCGATGAGGGCGTGAAGGAAGCGCTCGTCGTTATTTTTTACATGTGAAGAATCCCCGGGCTGCAGCAGGAAGATGAACAGTCACACAGAGCATAGACAAAGGGGAAGTTAACACGCAGAACATTCCTGTTCTCAGTCTGCATTTACTTGATCTGTTTTAAAAGAGAGCGTTTACCCTCCTGTTTAGGATGGTCGTGCTGTAGACATCTTCGTTGTTCTTCTCTTTTCTCTCAAACTCCTCTTTTGACAGAACCAGCTCATGAACATCTGGAGAGCCTACAGGTTTGCTGATCATCTAATAATTTAAAAAAAATATACATATACTTAATGTTTTGCAATATTTGTTTTTACACGTTTAACCAAATGACAGCATGAATTTCAGTGACAGATGAATTGAAATGATTTTCATAATCGATTATTTATTGCATAATATTTTTTGCATGAACTAAAGACATCTTTACTCAAATGTAAACTGGCAGCGCCGTCATATGTGTGTATACTGGTAGCATCCAGATCTACAGTACAAACCATGAACAGTCTGCTGTCAGTCTCACCATCAAAGGGCGTCATGAAAAGCTACATATCAAAAGACAACCTTAGACTTCATGTAGGTACAATCTCTACACATCAGGACAAAAAACCTGTTTCTCAAGAACAAGATTCCACAATCATCTAATTTTGGCTTATGATTAATTGTCAAGAAATCTGATGAACAAATGAATTGTCTTTTTCTCTTCATTTTATGCCTACACTAGTTATAAATTAGTGGTATTGGCACCTTTGACTGCTACCTTTTCAGTGCAAATCCAACAAATTTCCTCCCTTGGGCTGTCCTTTCTTTATTTAGGCTAAAGCCAGAGTAGGCAGTACATTTAGTCTGAGAGAAAACTAGACATCACCTCCTCTTGACTCCATCTTCAGGCTTTAGAAAATGTAACACATAACGAGAGAATTTAGCCAGTCACAAGGAGAGCGTCATGAATTGGCCTTATGCTTCCCTTTAAAGACTTACCCTGGCCGAGTCTCCGATGTAGAAAACAGCCTGTTTTCCTCCAACTCCAAAGTAGGATATATCACTGTTGAGACTGCGAGGTACAGGATCTGGCCGGACATAGCCTTCAGCTTCACTGTCAGGAGTAAATAAAAGAAGAAGAAGAAAAAAAAAAACACATATAATCTTGTTTGGGTATTTTTTAAACTGCAAAATGCCATATAGGACAAACAGACTGGGCAGTCAATGCAAATTTGACGATTTTGAATACTGACCTTGCAAATGTGCTGCTTTCCTTTTTAAATTTAGACAGTCTGTACACTGCCCAGTTGTTGAGCTGCTTAGAGGACATCCCATGTCCATTATCAAGAACAATGACGGCAGGTTTCCCAACAGTTTTGTCATTAAGCTGGTAAACAGATACAAGAATAAGTCACTATGACAGATTTACTGTGGATATGATGTTAACATGAAACCAATATGCCAAAGGAAAGGATAAAAATCATAAAATGCAACTGCAGAACCCACCACCCGTATCTCTATGGACCTCAGTCCCTCGTTTTTAGCTGTGGCTGAAAGAGCGTTGTCAATCAGCTCAGCAAGTGTGTAGGCTGGAAAAATAAATACAAACAACCAAATGAGTGATGACAGAAGCTTAATATCTTTGTCAAGTGCACAACTCTGATCATGTAAGCGCTTACATAATGGTGCCTGGCCCTGACTAGCATAGTATTCATGCATGCCACCCCGGATCACCACGTCATAATGAGGTGTAAAGTTGATGTGCTCCTCCGCTGCAACTGGCAGATCCTGGCGCTCATGTTGCAACAAGTAGAGAGTGCTGCCATCCTGGAGCTCCTCTACAATAAAAACACACGTAAGAAAAACGTATCCTCGAATTATATCCGTTTATCTGATAGAAATGCTGACATATGACGTGATCTGACAGAAAAAAATATCCATATTTACAACAGACTTTTTATGCAGAAAGCTCAGAATAAAGTCAGAAAGATGTATTTGTTGGAATTTCACATTGTTCACCAAATCACTTACTAAATTTGTCAAAATCCAGGATTGTTCTGTCTGTTGTTGCCACCACAAATACCTCACGTGGACCGATTGAAAATTCCTGTACAGAAAAAAAATGGAAACATTTTTTAAAAATATGGAAAATGTCTACTGTTATTTTTTGCATTTGTTCTTTACTTGGGCTGAAACAATTAGCCGACTACTTTAGATGAACAGAAAATGAAGTGCCATCTCTAATGTTTGTTGTTTTTCTCTGTGTTATAGCTTTCTTTGTGTTTTACATTATCAGTCAGATAAAACAATGTGACTTCACTAGCGGCTTTAGGAACATTTCACTCAATTTTCTCAAATTTATTAGAAATACGACTGATCAATTAGTAGAAAAATGATCATCTGACTAACTACTAACAAAAATAATTGTACACAGTGGTCTGTAAGAGCAGGCAAAGGAAGTTAGAAGAGTTATGTTGCTCTAAGGAGTTCATAGCACATTTAAGCATGAACTAAAGACATCTTTACTCAAATGTAAACTGGCAGCGCCGCCGTATGTGTGTATACTGGTAGCATCCAGATCTACAGTACAAACCATGAACAGTCTGCTGTCACTCTCACCATCAAAGGGCGTCATGAAAAGCTACATATCAAAAGACAACCTTAGACTTCATGCAGGTACAGTCTCTACGCATCGGGACAAACAATCTGTTTCTCAGGAACAAGATTTCCCTGTTAATAAAAGTTGTTGTCACCACCGGAGTCACATTTTTAATTTAATAGTAGCGTGTACACATGCCAGCTCTTGAAGGTAGGGTGTGGTGCACGACAACAATATGCTCACTTAACATGCAAGCAGAGTGTTTGCCCACCTCATTGTAAATAGGACATTATGTGTATACATGCCAGCTCTTGAAGGTAGGGTGTGGTGCTCAGTGTATACTCAATTAAAGCACAAGCGTAGTGTTTGCCCACCTCATTGTAAGTAGGACTTTATGTAATTCATTCTGTCTTACACGAGAGAACTGAAAGCAAATATCAAACTAACATCAGAATAAACATTCAGTTTATGTTGTTGTCTTTATGCCAAAATTCTGACAAACTGCAGATCTGGATCAGATTATGTAGCTGAAAGAAGATGGAGAGATGTAATGATATGGAATGCTCTCTTCCTTATTCCTTGTTCCTTTTCTTGAGACAAGTAAAAAATGTCATGCATCTACATTTACTTTCCAGGGTGTCATTATGCCTGCCTTAAACTATTGCACTCTAGTTTGACAGTCCTGTAACAAATCTGTTCTTGAAAGCTGCACAGAGTTTGCGAAAGCATATAAGAAGTTGTAAAGAGCTGTTTAGTCGGTTAAAATCTTGACATTTTGCTCATGTTTGTTCGTACAGTCTCTGTATTGAATGAACATGATTCACATCAGACTTTGAATGCTGTGTGACGCCTACTTTTTAACGACTTCAACAATTAAATCAGAGGTGATTTTTGATTTCATGTTGGACGTAGCTGCCTGACCAACTCTGGCCGAAAGTCACAACAATATTTGTTCAACTTTGTGATAATTATGATGACCAAGCCTCAGCTGTCAAGCTCTCAGGCTGTCAATGTCAGCATCATCTTTTAAATCGCCCTTTTGGAATTTTCTTCTTTCTTAATGGATGATAGCTGTCATATGTCTTTAAACGAGGGATTTTGTTTATATCCTAAGTTCTGGATCTTGTTTACTAATATTTTATATTCTGTCATTGTAATGCAGTAAATAAAGCTCATTCCTATTATTATTCTGGAGGATGCAGTTTGTGATGCTGCCTGCAGAGACTGATTTTCAGCCTGCAATAGTTGCAGTGGACGAAATAAGAGGTGCTGCAAAACAATTTGTTAAAGTGAACTCCCCGTTTCATAGTGCAATAGAACCCTTGATGGAGCATTACCTCATGACACACAATCAAATTATTACCTCCTCTGTATTCTGATGCAAAGATGAAAACTTGAGGATATGATCTTGCTTTCTACATACATTTATTACAATTTTTGTAAAAAATTGGGATAGAACCTACAATTCAACGTGAAACTTAAAGCTGTGACTGTGGCAAGGTAAATAAATACAGACATAATTAGAAAATACTCTTAAGAAAATAATAGAGCATGAAATAGATCCATTCACTTATGGCTCAGGAGGAATATGTAAGTATTGCACTTAATAAAACACTTAATAAATTAATAATAATTAATCCTGGGTAAGACTATCTGCATAATGTGCATGTCAAAATGCAACTTTTGAAAAGTTAATCGATTAATCGTCCAGCTCTACCTGCCAGTGTAACGGAATGCCGTTTAAAGCATCACCAAACTGCATCCCCTAACTTTTTTTTTTTTTTTTTAAAGTCTGCCCAATTTTTTTATTTTTATTTTTTGAACCATTGCAACCATGAATTCCCCGAAGAGGGACATTTTCCAGCTTCAAAAAAATAAAAAAATAAAATCTGTGTATAACGGCTCGGTCTGTTCATCGGTCCAGGTGACGGTGATAACAAGTTAACTAGAGCCGAAATGCTCTGAAACTTTCGATAAATTGCACGCCCCCTACCCACAAACAGAAACAGAGTGAGCTCAAAATACCTTTTTCAAGTCGTGAAGAAAGTCATTAAAGTCCAAACCGCTTATTTCCAGATGTTTCTCGGTTCCCTCCCTCCTGTCGAGGCGGAGGTCGCAGACGCGGACCGTCCGGCTGCCTCTTCCCCGCTGCGGGGTGGCAGCAGCCCGGAACGAGTTGAGCATCTTGTCCGCTCCGCTGCTTCGCACAGCCGTCGAACGTCGCACCGAAAACCTAGATGTATTGCCGGTTTCAGCTTTAGTTTCGGTCCTGACAACACCTGTGTAGCTTCTCTGAGGAGTTTAAACTGACTTCACAGCGACGCCAGCGTTTCTACGGAGTTCAACTTGGGACAAATTAGACGGTTTCCACTTCCGCGAAGCAGAAACAGCAAATCGCTGCAGAGTTTTCCTCCGCGCTGTGCTTCAGTATCGTTTCCCGGGAAATGCAAGGATGTGTTTCTAGTTTGGATTGGGACGCCGCCTGCTGCACGGAAACAGAAACCAGACACATTTCTTTAAAAAAAAAAACCATCACAAGCTGATCACAATGTCCGTGCTGCTCCAGAGCGACCAGGGCTGGTTTGTGGATCCACGGTCACTCATTGATCGGGGATATTCGCCATGCATCCGGTGGAGAGACACTCAAAAGTCTCATGTCGAGTGTCGTTTCAACAAGCAGTGTTTTCAGATTTTAAAAAGCCATTATAGTGTGCCTGCCGGTGCTGCTGTGGATGGAGGAAACGCGGATATGTTGCAGAAAACAGGCAAACCACCAAAGGTAACAGCTGCTGCTGCTGCAGAGGCTGCTGACAAGGATCCACAATACTTTATAGCAGTAGTGGAAGTACACTGACTTTAGTAATGTACTCAAATACAGCTGGGCATACCTATGCCCTTCATTATAACCCATCCAGCTGTTTTTACAGGTTGAAATAGCTTTAAAGGACTAATCCAACTCATATAGTGTAGTTTTCCACTTGCCAAAAAGTGATTGCAGCCCCTGCATTTTGAGTGAAATTGTATTACTGTGTCAGTATGACTGATTTCATTAATTGCATTCACATATTGCCCAAAGGCTAACTGCAAAAGAGGTAATTTATTCTGTTTATACATAAAACCCGAATCCTGTTCATTACACTCAGGATCACTTTTTGGCAGACGATTACTTTCTGGAACAACTCTTGTTTCATTTCACCCCCCACCATAAAAGGTATTTTCATTTTAATGTCCCCAGAACCCAAAGAGTGACCAGCACCAGAGCTCAGCTGAGTGACTGAAGAATTTAAATTTGTTTAGTATTATTTAGTATTAAACTGCTTTTCCTGATGTGGTTTTACTGCAAAAGCATCTCACAAATACACCAAATACACGTTAGTTTATTCAAAACACATCTATTGACTCAAACAGCAGTAATGCTTCGATAAGTTCAGTTTGATGCAATGTAAATAAATCTTTATCGGTCAAAGCAGGTTCAACCTGTAATTCATGCATCACAGTGCAGTGATGCTTTCACTGCCTTCATACTCACTGGACTGTGAATGAAAATATGTTGTAGGTTTGTTTTTCACTGTTTGACAAAGGGTTGAATTATCAGCAAATGTGCATATTGCTGTGTTGTTATTTGTTGTTATGGACATAATAGACTCATATGAAGCTGTCAAGTCTGTGATAGAATAACTTTGGATGTGTTTGGTGCCTGAATCTGTTCGTCTTTATTTGTCTAATTAAAATCAATCAATATTTAACTTTTAGAAAAGGAAACGAAAACACAGCGAACTCAACCAAGGGGAGCTGGATTCACAGGCCTTCCATGAGAAGGTAGGATGGATGTCATTCTCTTAGCTGCATATTCACTACCTTCCATATAAATAGATTTATAATCTACTACTTTAAAACCTATAATCTCAATATACAAGCAGGTGATAAATCTCATGGACCGGAGAGCAATGAGATGGCATCACTGTCGCATTTTAAGAAAACACGACCTGCTCACCTTTGAAAATGTTCTGAATTTTAGTACTCTTGAATTGTTTTTTAAATGTCTAAATAATGGTGTATCACCACTGTTCTCTGAATTGGCCACCAGGCGTCAGAGCTCTCACAGAGCGACCACATGAGCCTCCACCAGTGGTGATTGTCTTGTCCCGAGATACAAGACTTGATTTTGTCAGTCTGCTCTTTCTCTAAAGGGGGCAAAACTCTGGAACTCTCTTCCCACGAACCTAAAATTAGAGAGCAACAGTAATGCTTTTAACAAAGGACTCAAACAGCGGCTTCAATCAAAACAAGAATGCTCACATGAAAAGTTTTAACTGGTTGATTGCTTGACCGTGTTGCCTTTGCTTTGAAGCGTATATATGTCTTTAACCTGTAAAACTGCCTCTCTTTTATTGTTGTAAAGTTATTGTACACTTTATTTTTTAGTTTATTTGTTTGTCTTTTATTTTTTGTTTTTACTCTTATTACTTTTTATCATTTCAAAAGCCTCCTGTGGACAAGTGCTGCAAATTAGCACATGTGCTAAAACACTCAAACAATGCATCTGGTTTGTCCAATGTAACTGTGATGTCCAGATCAAATAAACAATAAATAAATAAAGTAAATTGGTGCTGGCAGAGATTGTGGTAAACCACTGAAATGAAAGCATCACAGCGAGTACATCTCGATTTGGGTAAATCAAACTTTCACAATAATTGCATTCAGTATTATTCCAAATTCAATTGAGTTCAGATCCACATAGAAAACAAACTTTTATTTAAGTAAAAGTAGAAATACCACAATGTAGAGACACTCCTGCAATCAGAGTGATACTTAAAGAGTCTGTTTAGAGCACTTGGGGATGTCTACTGCATATATGAAAATGTTTCATACAAAATGAAAAATCTGGGTGTACAGAGTTAGAAAGAAGATAGTTTATTACATCTGTGCTGCTGGTCTCTGCTGCAGGCTTGATGCTACTTTAGCCACTACTAGCTGATACAGTCTCTGACCCAACTGTCAGTCACATTGCATTATTTGTAAAAGGGTCCTGGAGTTGACACAAATTTCTATCCTTTTAAAGAAGAAAGCTGTCCATCATGAATCTGATATGCAGGATGTGTAGCCTTTCAATGTGCAAAAGTGCACAAGAATTAGCACTGAGCTAAAGTTAAAGTCCTGGAGGTAGAAGTGTTGCTGAGCAGTTAATCACAAAATTATTGAAACTGAATGCAATGTTTAAACCACAGGAGCTGCAAGTTTTTGCTGAAAGTAAAATGATTTTTCTAGAGTCACGGCGCGATTCTTTTTCACCATTCAAATGGCATCTATAATACGTCATCATGAGATGCTTCGGCCTACCATTTATATTCTCGAGATGTTTAGGAACAAGATTGAAAGGCTGCAGCAAAAATCACATCATTATTTTTAGACTTTTTTTTGTGGAAAAGGAGATTCCCAGTAAAACCAGGAATCATATCACAATATCTATGAAAATAATTGCAAAATGATTTTTCCAGCTGCAGTTAAAAGAGCTCGTTGGGCAGACTGTTACATTTCAGATTGAGATAGGATTTGATTGTAATAGATGATCAATGTGTAGGAATCACTTTAGGCAGGACTAATTTGATCTCGTATATACGAAGTCGTTCTATACTACAGTATCATAATTTACATGTTTATTATATTTTTTCTTTATTCATCAGAGTATGCCAGTTAACTAGTAACACATATAGTAGAAAATAAAATACAACATGTGAAATGTATTTGAGTTTAGATATAAAGTAGAATAAATACAAAAACAGTCTGTGTTATCTCATATTTTCAGTTTAATGCATCGTCCAGACATAATAATCTCTGTAATGTGCCTTCATGCAGGTCAGGTCTGTTATTCTGGAGGGAACCAAGTCCTTGGTGGATTCTGTTCGATCTCTGGGACATCTGAACGGAGGGACGGACACAGCAAAAGAGCCTCTTCCCTCCCAGGAGTGCAGCCTTGCTGCTCTTTGTGAAATGGCTAAAGAGCTTCCTCTAGTGGACGAGGAGGAGCAGGAGTGCTGCTCTCAGTCACTTGTTGCTGAGGATGGCTGCACATCACATGTCGACTTGTTCTCTCGGCTGACGGAGAACAGGACGGACTGGGCTGCAGTGGTCACTCTGATGGGAGAGGAGTATGTGATACCACCTCACTCAGCTTTCCTGCTTTCTGACTTCACTAGAATACAACCACTAGTCCACTGTGAGTACAGCGCTGGAACAATACTTTTGAACAAAGAGAGTATTATGAACTGAAAACGTGTGTCAATATTTTTTTGGCCGTAGATATTAAACAAAATGCCTCATGTGTGGTAACAACTTAAAAGCTTTGAAAAAATGTGCTTATTATGGCATAAATATGAAAACCACTCCCTAAATTAAGAGTTGTAAATAGTTGTTGTATGACTCAGTGTAATTTCATGTCAAGTCAGAGCACGTTTGTTGTTGCACAGCCTGACTTAGTTAATAAGTTTCTTGGTTCTCACCCAGATGGAAGGAGGTTTGACCTCATAGTCATGGATCCACCCTGGGAAAACAAGTCTGTGAAAAGGAGTCGCAGGTAATTTGGCATTCAGGAATTTACAAGGTGTCAAGAAGATATAACGGGATAAGGAGAAGACTTTGTTGATCTCCAGGGATGAAATTTACATTATATTACTGCACAGAAAATAAGTAATTAAGATTAGAGAAGAAACGGAAAATCCAAGCCTTTCCTCTCCATCATTTCCCCGCATGTGCCCCTTCACATGAATTCCAAAGGTGATAGTCTTACTGTGGATGTTAACCAGAGAGATAATTCATCTTATGTGAAGGATTTTGAGGCCTAAGAGCTCAAAACGTCCAGAGTTTCAGGAGAAAAACAAAAGGCAAGTGAGACAAACCACACTGGTGCTTTTAGCAAACATCAGCCAGCAGATATGTTACATGTTCATATGCAAATTAGCAGAAAACAGAAAGTATAGGTGAGGCTTGATTAAAGGTTAAGGAAGCACTCACGTTATTAGAATTCACTCTGATGGGGACGTGAATGTGTCTGCCAGAATTTATGGCCAAAGTAGTTTAAAAAAAAAGAAAGAAATTCCACTCAAAATCACAAATGTCAGCCTCATGGTGGTGCTAGAGGAGAAGTCAGGGATCAGCTAAGTGAGCAGAATTCGTCATCTGTGACTTATAAACGTTTGTACAAGAGTTGCCAGACAGTAGATGTTAAGATATTTCACCCAATTAGTGAAAATTGCCACATGCTAGAGGAAAAAGTTCAGTTAAATCATTCTAAATTTTCCCCTTTCGACCTTGAATATCTTTATCTGATTTCATCCAGTGGTTGTCGAGGTAATTTACTGTAAACTACACTTTATTTCTAATAAAAAAAAAGGGGGAGAAAGTAGCTTGCATTGTTTTTAAATTGCATTTTCACTGATTATATCAATTCTCTCAATGCAGATACAGTTCTTTGCCCTCATCCCAGCTCAAACAGCTCCCTGTGCCCCTGCTGGCGTCTCCGAACTGTTTAGTGGTTACCTGGGTGACGAACCGGCCCAGCCACCTGCGTTTTGTCCGGGATGAGCTGTATCCACACTGGGGGGTGGAAGTTGTGGCTGAATGGTTCTGGGTCAAGGTGCTGAACTACAAAAGCTCTCAGGCATGGAAATCTCACCTACTGGAGTCAAATGCTTCAAAAGCTTGCTCTCTCCGTCGTAGGTCACCACATCGGGGCAGTTTGTGTTTCCACTAGACTCACCGCACAAGAAGCCTTATGAAATGCTGGTGTTAGGCCGATACCGCGCTCCTGTGGATACAAGGTTTGTCCTCTCTGAGTGAGCACAACCCTTAAATGTCACATATTGTATTCACACTGTTGTTTAACCACTTTCAGCCCTTCGGAGGCGTCAGAGGTTCCTGTGGAGGATCAGCGGCTGATTGTCAGCGTCCCGTCAGCTCTGCACTCCCAGAAGCCCTCGCTATCAGGTGAATGTTTCAGCGCAGTGTTCTACTGTGCCACCAGAGGGCAATGCTGCAGCATCACTGATTGTTATCTCGCCGTACGGCTTGAGTGACGAGCTCTAAACGCTACGATGACCCTCTACCACAGGCGTCAAAGCAGCGCCTCTAAATGTGAGTCAGATCTTTAGGTTTGCATGTACGAAATCGTAAGCATTGACGACATCAGTTCCTACATGCAAAATTACATCCTTTTGCACGCCAAGAGCACAAACTTAAGTAAATAATTACAGGATTATTGCGTTATTTCAATGAGACGCAGCACATTTTAATGCATAACTTGCTTTTGCACTGCAGAAACTTTGTAGCTTTTTAACGATGCTACCGCTGGCTGCAGACAGCCGCATCAGAGGAGACAACCTGGTTAAAAACAGCATAAAGCATCTCCATTTTTTATTCATAATAACTGCACTTGACAGGTCTGGCTCGTCAGATGGAGAACTTTTGCTGCTCAGATGTCAAATTTGCCCAGTTGGCTCTGATTGTGGTTTAGCAAGCGTCGACTCCCAACATGCACTCTGCTACTTAGAATCGATGTAAGACCTTGACAATGAATATGCAGGGACTATGAATAAGAGAGGCTTGACGTCATTTCACTCCCTCTCCGGGGAACGCGATTTGTTGTGCAGTATGGAGAGCAAAACACGGCCAGTGTTTGCCGGTGCCCTTTCAGCAGCGTAGAAAAGCCTCTATCTCATGGAAGTAGCTGGATATTGTTGAAATACTTTGATTGAAATCATACTGATGCCATTGTGGAGTTGTGATACCAAAGAGATTAAGTAGATTAGGATGCAGATTGTGCTCAGACTCCATGGATGATTCTTTGTTCATGGCAAAGCCTGTCAGCAGGTTTAGTCAGAACTGGTTTTGTCTATTTCTTTATTTTCTCCTGTGAAGTTTTTATTGTCATAGTTTTTGCTGCTTGTATTGTACACAACATTGTATTTCTTTAGGTGTCCTTGGCTACACAAAATGCAGAGACTCAGCTGCACAAGCAATCAAAGACACACTGATGGAGAATGTCTTTATTCGTGCTGCTTTTTCATTGTATTTTCTACACAGCTGCACTACTAAATCTCCACAGTGTTACAACTTGAGTTACTATGGCTGTTTTGTTATTCAGCAAGAGGTGAGAAAGCTCCGTTGGCAGTAGGTGTGTCTCAGATCTCTGAGTGTAATAATTCCAAACTGCAACGTGTGGTGAAATATTAAAAAGGTTCTTGCAGAGATGCCAACAAAAGCAGAACAGTTTATTTATTTAACTATTTGAGGTGATAATTTCACACCTTGAGGCTTGAAGGATGATTTTTTTTTTCTCCTTTTGTTCACTCCTGCAACAGATTTTGCAACTGCTACTCCAACCCAGCAATAGATTATGCAACTGCTAGAAATTTCAAATGCGTCCCGAGACCTTTGGCATTATCCAACCTGAAGGTTCTGTCTCTCACGTCAAGCTATCATTCCTTTCTTTTGTTTTTTTTTTTTCGTATCGAGAGTGGTGTCAGGTCTGCTCGAGCCAGTGGGCAGCCTCGTCTGTGTGAAGCCACAGCCCTCGAGCCCACAGCGTCGAGAAACTCTGACCCATTTCTCTTCCCCTCTCAGATGGGGCTCGTGTCACTGACATTGTTGGTTGCTATGGAGAGATAAGGGACACCGTTGCTCTATTACAGATACAAAACATCCTTGCCAGATGGTCAAGCTGCAGAGAAGAAAAAAAAGTGTTTGCACTTCTCTGAAAGACAAGACGTGTGTTCTTTATTAATTAGAGCCCCCCTGCAACTTTAAAACTTGTGAGAGTCTCTTCCCAACGTGGGATTATAATTAGTGGCTGTTCCCAGTGTTCATCTCAGGAAGAGGCACATTCATTACTCAGGTTTGTGTCTGTTACATTACTGTTGATTAAAGAATGCATCCGTGTCTCAGATCTTATCTATTACTTCCTTTTCTCTTCACCTCTGGAAGACTGTGACACTGTAGTATGTCCCTTGGTTCTGCCTCTAAGCCATTCTTCATGTTGATCTGTGGTCAAATCTTCTGAAGACGATTGGTGCAGAGGATCAGCACTAAAAGTGTGCTTGTATCTTTTTCCCAGAAATAACTGGAGCTTCTGTGTTTTTTTTAAAAACATGCATTAAATTATTTTTCGTCCTTTGGGGGTAGCTCAGCAGGCTGTAAACACATCATAACTAATAATTATTACATACTGTATGTACAGCAAACATGTTTGCAAGTTACAGCCTAAACGTCTAGGAGATACAGAACTGCATAAATGTTTTATTTGGAGTCGAGTTGTAGTCAAATATTTGCTCTGAGGGAAATTAATGTCTCTTTAGATGCTAAAGCCTCCTTCAAGTTCACAGGCTAGTCGCCAACTTTGCTTGATCTGTCTGGTGCTGAGCGAGTAGTGTGCAGTGGAAATAATGAGCGTGATGGAAGTGAACCAAAAGCTATAGCCGCAACACCAAAATAATGAGTTAAGTTGGGAGTGGAGATGGGTGATAATTATCTGTGTACTGAATGCTTGTGGCTTTTTGTACATAAACCGGAATCATTTCAACATTTGTTACTAAAAAAATGATAGTTAGTCAAGCTTCAAAGACTAACTATACCCAGGTTGCTAATGTTCTCTGTCACATGTTGTGCTGTACAGTTCTGCAAAATCCACCACTTTGCACAGAAGTCGTTGCAGGCTTTCCAGTTGAGATATTTAATGCAAGGATGAGAAAAATTTTGACTTAAGAAGTATTTATTTTCAAAGGAGCTCTTGAAGTTCCTCTCTGGTCGTTGATTAAACCCCTAAAAGCTCATCCACTGTTTATCAAAATTACATAAGTAGAAGTTTATTTTCATCCTTAAAAAGGCTTCGATGTAACTGTATATCGTTGCTTCCTCTAATATGTGCACGTCTATGAAGTCAGCACTTCTCTCGCCACCCACCGATTCCCACTCGCTGCAGCTCGAGCACACCAGCTCACCTACCACTCTGTTCAAACTTTAAAAATCTACTCGTTGCAAAATTGCAAGCTGTACTATAACTCGGCCATAGATGTTAAAATTGGAAATCGATTCTGAAAAGGAATAATGATACAGAAAGCCCTGTCATGCAAGTTATCAGGATTGGTTCTTTAGGTTTGTTCCATATGAAACCTCAGAAGTCTGAATCTGTATTTTTGGGACTATCATCAGTTAACTGCAGTTTCAAGGTGGAAATACTCAGCCTTGGCATTAACTTTTTTAAAATTTCACTCATTATGTGTCTTCCACGTATTAAAAACTCTGTATGAAAATGCTTTCAAGGTCAAAAAGTCAACCTTCACCAGGCGGTTAGCATCAACAACAAACAAACCTCCACTGCCTCTGAGACTCTGGTTGTTTAATTAGGAATAATGTAATGCAGTAAAACACGATATAAGAATATAAATATAAACAGATAAAAACTGTGTTGCATCAGTGCAACTGTGTAAACTTGGGTGATTTTTTATCTATCTATGGATGTGAAAATGAAAATTCATATGGATCCAAAACTAATCCCTGTAGGACTCCACATGTGCACTGAGAATAAATTTTATTTGTTGTTTAGACTGAAAACATTCAATTGCAAAGAAATGCTTGTACTAAAATTTTAATCTTTATCCTCTTCTACTATGGTAATAACAACTAATTGCAGATATTTTACACAATCTAGTGAACAGTGTATCAAGGAAACATATAATAGAGATCAATGGAATTGACTCCTGCACTGTAATTAAACCAATGGAGCATAATTAGCTTGCTTTATTTGGTGAATCCTGGAGAGAATATGAGGAGCCTGCTAGGCAGTGTCTAAGAATGAATGTGTGAGTTGTCCAGAGAGTAGTTAGGTAACACCTTCTTTTGCCTGGGGATTTTCTTGGCACAAGTTTGATGCACTGTCCCATTTCAAAGTTAAGAAGACAATTAGACCTTTTTATTCTCCATTCAACTTTGAGAGCTGAGTCACCAGTTGGGGCTGAATTAGTCGGAGAGCTGCATGTTTGGCCTTTCCACACTGTGACTCTGTCTCTCTGACGTGCGTAGCGGGAAAAAAAAAAACGGGAGGCAGGACAGCACATTGTGCAGGTTGGATCGGTTTGGGGATCAGGCTTTTGAGCTCATTAACTCCCTGAGTGTTGGCTGAGGCGAGTGTCAGGGTGGTTTGAGGCATGCACAAGAGCAGACAGAGTAGCACTAGGGCAGAGGAAGTGAAACGGATCTGTCAGGTGTGCCTCTCCTGGAATATCATTACTTACAGAGCCAAGGTCACTGCCAGTCTCCACACAGAAAAATCTCTGCTGTGGTGTGAAGGAGCTGGGCAGCTGCCAGTGCTGTCCTCTGCCTATTGCAGGGTAACAAGCAAAGAGCTCACCTAGAAGACACGGGCGCAGTGCAGTAATCTTACAGCCTAACTTTCATTATATTAAAATGTCTGCTTTTTCTTTTTTTTTTTTATCCAGTCACACATAATGACACAAGCACAACGGAGTGACATGTAAGTGCTAATTAGAAATAAAACATAATCAAGTGAAGAAGAAACAAAAAAAACTTCAAGACGTCCAATTAAATCTTTCTAAATTTGTGTGAGGCTGCAAAGTTTAGGGATCGTCAATTCATTTGTACTGAATTAATTGGCAACATGTTTTTGGAATCTGTTAAGGGCCACTAAAGCATCAGTTTAAGTGTTGACATTGGTCCCAGGGCTACAGCGAACAGAATGTTTTCATCAGAGTGTTTGCTCTACGTGTCCTCGGAAGCACTACATGTCTGAGAGTTTTGAAGGCTTAACAAATAGACATGCGGTCTCTGCTTTTCTATGCACATGCCAATTTTGTCATTCCAACCCTCCAACTCTGCATGCACCCTCATATAAAGGCCTTCAGCCGTGAGGTCAGGCTGCCAGGGGTGTGTTGTTTCGCCACCAGGTGTGGAGAAAGGTGGTGAGAGGGTGAAGTGGCCACAGACTAGTGCGCCTCGGGACTCCTGCACGGCAACCGATGGAGGACAAAGGGGGCTCCTTTATCAAGGGATATGGAGGGCTGCTTATGAGCCAGAAGGACAGTTGGAGGTTGTTCATGGAGTCGAACTTTGCATTTTCCGTTGTGTCTTACATGGCAGGTTGCATTTAGTGCTTGTAAGTGAAACCTAACGGACATTCTTATTGTTCCATTGTTCCGGGGTTGTTCCATATCGCTGGTCAAGGGCTTAGTAAAGTTGTTGCAACCTGCCACACCACAAAAACTGTGCAGGAATGGCTCGAGAAACAAGACAAAGAGCCCAATCTGATTGAGCATCTGTTGGACGCACCGCAACATGAAGGCTCCACCCAACAACTCACAAGAAACAAAAGATTGAAATAGCAAAAATTCTACCAAGATCGACTCCCAACAGATAAGAAATATGAGCAGAAAAGCTTTTAAAATAACACTCTTGAATCAGGCAGAGTCTGGTGCGAAAAGGTGTCATTTGTCAACAGGCAGCAATTGACAGCTCAAACCATGAGTTAGTCCCAGGACTGAGCCAACTCCTCTTCTCTCAGACCGCTGTTTTTATCCTCTTTGGGGCTTCTCCTGTACCCAGGATTCCTAAATTCTTTTGAAATTCTATGCTTAGGCTTGAAATTAAGGGTGTCAACTTTGAGGTTGTCTCTGCCCTCAGCTGGGAGGTCCAAATTCTATCACGACTCAGCACATTTTCTGTTTTTTTTAAGTCTGCTGACAGTGACACCATTCTGCAGGTGTTTCAGCCCACATCACGACTACACAGGGAACATTATTACTACACCGGGCAGCATCACTACACAGATCTTTCCGAGAATAACAACCAACACCCTGGTTTAAAACGCTACAGGACCCTCCAGAGGTCCCGTGTCCACAATCAGTGACAGTTGAAACTCTGCACGCAACTAACATTACGTCTTTGAGCGTTCGGAAAAGCACTTTATAAATAAAATGTATTATTATTATTATAACATTAAAGCTGGATGTGGCCTGTTGTACTTGCGACAACACCCATCTGGGATGTAACATGGAACTGTAGTGACATCCTCCATCACAGGTGTGGTTACAGGGTTCAGACATCAATTGTTAGGCAGTGCCAGTCGAGTATTGGGTCTCAAGGTGAACAAAGTGTCGCTAGGTGTAGTTTTCAGGTTGCCCTATGGAGTGTTTAAACCAATCACGATCGTCCCTCTTCCTCATTACTTTCTTTTCACAGATGTGTTGAAGCCGTACGTTGGAGCTGAAGCCAAGTGCTTGGAGCTGTTTGCCCGAAGCCTTCAACCCGGATGGACCAGCTGGGGCAACGAAGTGCTCAAATTTCAGCACACGAGCTATTTCACGTTGACACCTGCAGACGATGGAGCGGACGTTTCCAAAGACGAGGCCGCAGACACACAAGTGTTCAGCCCAGCTTAGAAAATCTAAAAAATCCTCGTCCCTCCACTGTGAACCAATCACTGACCTTCAACACCTGTCACATCAGTATTTTACTTTGTTTTTAATAAAGATTCAACGCCAAAGTGTTTCTCTACCAGCTCTTTTTGATCTGCGCTCTTCATGCATGTGGGACCTTTGATTTCTTTTTCTGGTCCGGGCTCATATTTAAGGTAGTGAAACACAAGTCTGATGATGCAGTCGGCGAGATGAAAGTGCATTTCTTGTGCAGCTGTTTTGAACCCAGCTTCCCACGGTGCAATCAGATAAACAACTTTCAAGGTTTTTTTTTATATTTGCCTTTTGAGTAATCTTTGGCACAATGTGCGTCTTAAGGATGATCAAAGCGTTTCTATTTTTACTCATTTTTATGCTGTTTTGAGCTGAATATCAAAATGTTCCCCAACTCTAATGAAAAAAACACTTTGAATCCGTATTGGTTTGCTTGTTCTTTAAGAAGTTTTGCTTAAAGGTTGCTCACTTGAACAACACACTGCTGTAACCTTCCCCCTGCCTTTGTACTGTCAAGGGCGCCCAGCTCTATCCTTGGATAATTTGTCCCTGAATTTTCCTTGTTTCCTCTGAAAGATGAACTCTTCCTGTGTCACGCTTGTACGCTGCCTCTTCCTGTTGGGCGGGGCGTCTCTAATGAGTCTGCTGGCGTTGTGTGGATGAGCGGGGCTGCCTCTGAGGCAGATGAGGATGAGTTACAGCCACTGCAGCGGCGTACACATCACGGCTAATGAAGCCAGAGTGTGACTCCAGAAGGATCACTTACAAGTTACCTTGTCAGGCTCTCTGTCTTTCTTTAAAGGATAATTCCAGTGTTTCTGAACGCGGGCAATATTTTCGCATATTTTTAGGGTGTAAATGATAATAAATATGGACAGAAATGTTTGGAATTAATCCAATATTGAGCAAGAACACAATAACCTACAACCACCAAAAGTCTTCAGTGCATTATATGGAGCATTTGAACACACTACTGGACTACTGAGGGATTGTTTTTACTGTTAAACATGTTTCTGCATTTTCTTCATGACCACCTGAACGCATGTATGTTCCCGTGGTAACAGATTGAATACAGTAACTGCACAGCTTTGTTCAGTGGGATGACTAACATACAATTCCACAGGTTTGCAGATATAACATATTCCCTCAGTTCAGACAATGTGGTCAGGAAAGGATTTAAAGCTTCTTACAGCTGATTTAAATCCAAAACTCTGAACAGAACCTCTTCCAGAATAGGTTAGCTGTGCAGTATCAATTATGATGGTGATCTAGCGGAAAAAAATCTGACTTTAAACTCGCTAACACATTATTTTTACTTCATAGTGCAGCTCTCTCTGGGCTTTGAACAGAATCTTCTTGAGGAGAAGTGTTTTTGCACTTATATATATCATGACCTGGATGACTGAAAGACTTCGTAGACGCTTCAGTGTAGGATTTCTTCTCCTATTTGTCTGGCAGTAATTATCTTGTTCAGAATGGTCAATGCAAACACAGTGGCCTCTGGATGGCGCAGTATACGGAGTGTTTTTATTCATTTGTAACCACAATTGCAGTAGCTCCCTGTTCTCCGTAGGAAGCATTGTGAAGTGTGGCGCCACAATTTGAAAATGTGCACATTACAGCCCTTAATTTTAACTGTGGCCCAAAGGAACCCATAACACACGAGATGCCACAAAGCTGCTGGAGCTCAAAGCAAGTTTAATTATCCAAGAAACACTTACAAGACACCAAAAAAGAGAAATGGGAGCTCCAGCCGAAATATACACAAAAAAAGGGAGAAGGCCATGAACCATGCCCCACAATGGGCCATCAGATTCAAGCTTCTTCCTCAAAAGGTGATCAACAAAAGTAAATAAACCGAAAGAACTGACTCCGAACTCAGGTAATAAGTAGTGAAACAAAAACCGCAAACACAACACAGGACTCAGGTTGTGGAGCTGCAGGTGGCAACAAACCAGCATTAGTTTTTTTTCCCCCATCTTTTAGATAACATAAGCTACATTTTGTGTACTCAGACTCTTTGATGCTGCTCCACTTTTCCCCACACGACTCCATCTGACTCTCACTTGTACTGTACACTGTTGTCTTCCTGCAACAACTCCTCCTCCTGAGATTTCAGAGCGAGACTTCTGCTTGACTTCTGTTACATGTTAGACACGTCTATCTCTGCAGGAATCCTGCTCTCAGACATTTAGAATAACACACTGAACCCCTCAGTGGCGTTTTACTTTGACAGCAGCCCCATGCGACTCCATCGCAGCTGTTTTGCGTTCTTGCTCGGTTATTCGATATATCCCTATTATTAATCATTTACACACAAAATAATATAAGAGAAAAAGACCTAGGTTTCAGAGAGTTATCCTTCAATACACACACCAACACATTTGTCTACTATTTGTCTGTATCTGTGCTGACTTAAGTTAGGATGAAAAGCAAAGAAACACTTGCAAGAAATTAAAGACATCCAATGAACAGATTTGCTGCAATTAAACTATAATCAGGCCTGCAAATGTTGGGGGTCCAGTTAATTTAAAAACTGTCCTCCTTTTGTCCTTTCCATTAGCATTTTTGAGTGTATTTTAAAACAATGAGGTTGTGTTAAAGGCTGAAATGCAATAAAATGAAAGCCACTCTTTGCTACTCTTAATCCTAACATGTTCTTCAGCGTAGATTTCTTTACTCGGCCAAGAAAAGACTCATATAAAGCCTGCTTGATGAGTTGTCCCACAGCTTTCCAACACATCTGGTGCCCTTCACCAGCAGATGAAGTTAATTAAGGTGTGGTGAAGATAGTGTAGATGTTACAACAATTTACATATTTAAAAAAAAAAAAAAAAAAGAGTAATTTCAGCCACTTGAGAACAATCCGTCTTAGGTGGTCAGGAGGAGGAGGTCATAACTTCTGTCTCTGTTCAAAGATGCACATTTTCTACTAGAATCCACTTTGTGTGTCTTTAAGGCCTTAAACCACACATTCCCATCTCCATAAATCATCTTTTTTTAAAACTGGCACTATTTAGATTAGCACACGGTCTCATCTTTAATCCATCATATTCCACCACTTTTGGCGCCATCTACAAGCTTCTACCAAGCATTTAGGTGTATTTTGGCACAAACTAAATTTGTTGGCTTTCTGACACAGATTTATGTCTTCATCACAGTCCACTGTTTCTGGATAAGGTTTAAGTCAGGACACTGGGAAGACCAGTCTAAAACCTTAATTCTAGCCTGATTTATGCATTTCTGTACCACTTTTGACGCATGTTTGGGGTCATTGTCTTGTTGGAAAACCCTGAACGATCCTACCAATTGGCGTTTTTAGGTTTTCCTGAATAATGTGGAGATAACCCTCCTTCTTTATTATTCCATTTACTGGAAAGCACCAGTTCCACTGGCACCAAAACAGCCCCAGAGCATAATACTGCCACCATCATGCCTGACAGTAGTTATGCTGTTCTTGTGGTTAAAGGCCTCATCTTCTCTCCTCCAAACATATTTCTGGTCATTGTGGCTAAATAGCTCAGTTTTTGTTTCATCATCGTCCATGGTTCTAAGTGACTAACCCGACTTGTCCAAGTCACCGAGTCAGTGATTTGCTTTTCCAGATCTTTGTTGACCTCCTCAGACTTTCCTATTGTTGTGTTTGTGGCTGAGTCTTATGAATGCATCAAAAGGGCCTATTTAAATTGGCTCAGAGGAATCACCAGCTGTAGTCGATTGTAGTTACTAATAAGAAGAAGCAGAGGCTAAGAAAATCTGAATAACAGCTTTCTACATCATCGAAACTGACAATTCCAGTTTATGTATGTATATTTTTGACACAATAGATTTTGCCTTATTTCCATAAGACAAATGTGTGTGTGTGTGCATATATACTATATATACACATATATGTATGTATGTATGTATGTATATGTATTACACACAATGATAGATTGCATTTGTGTGCGTGTTCTCAAACAATGCGGTCTTACAAAAGCGATCTATCTAATCAGTGTATCCTTCCATACAGCTGCCTTGCTTTCATTTACCTAATTAAAGTAGAATGATGTGAGTCAAATGTCAAGCTAAAATGCCTTTTGTGAGATCACATTGAAGAGCTACTCAATAGTGTCAATCAGGTCTCCAAGGATTTCTTCTTTTTGTCTGTGTTCCCACGGAAACAACAGGCAATCAAAGAAAAGATCCTTGAAGTTTTCAGCAACAGTCCCCTTATGAAACCCGCCATAAACGACTACATTCAGGCATCATACACATACAAAGTTATCTGTGTGACGCACTTTGTTTCCAATTGCTTTTCAATGACATTTTTCTTCCTTCAAATCTTTTTTTATTGTCCTTCAAGGCCCACAAACTTAGTAGCTGTTCCATCTATTTTATATATATATAAATTTTTTTTGTATTTTCATTTTTAATTCTTCAAAAGGCTATGGATAAGCCTGTATTGCTGTTTTTCTCTTGTAAGTGTAATATTCACTTAGTTAAAGCACAAAAAAGATGCATTGAAATAAAAGACTGATAAGAAAAGAGCTCATCTGAAATCTACCTCATCACACCATCGCTGACCAAAATATCAGCCGCTTTCCTCCCCTCTTTGTTCTGCTTTCTCATCACTGGATTTTTTTTTTTTGTTTCATTTCAAGCTACGCAATCGGCCTCTAAAAGCCCACCGCAGAATGAAGTCACCGCGATCATCATCTCTCTTACAGGCGCCAGTGAAAGGAGGGTGTCCTGTCAAAGTCAAGATGAAGCACCAGTCCAAGACCTCGTCACCTCTTCTTCCTCCAGCTTCCCCTTGTTCCTCCTTTAGAGCCGCAGCAAATGAGTCGCCTCTTTGTTATAACGAACTAATCCCTGTTTCACTGTCCTGTTTGACTCCACTGTCACCTCAGAGGCTAAAACTCAGGAGCAGGAGGGCTTCAACTAAAATTACCCATCAGCTGGGCAAACAGAGCTGTCGGCGTCGTGGGAAGAGGAGATGGAGGACAAACACCACACACTGTAAAATCACAGCTTTCTTGTAGAATTACAGTAAAAGTGATCGCTAGTGTTTTACTGTATTTTTACAGTGTTGTAATTGTGAGT